CGGAGAATAGTTCTCGGGTCAATTCAATCGTCAGGCGGTGTGGCGGATGCATTTTGGCGCTGCTTCGCAGCTGGAAAAGCCGAGATGGGATAAACCTGTATGTTTGCATTCATGATTGATAACAACACATGATTCGGGTCATTAAACGGTTCGATTGCGTGAACATCTGCTCCTAAAAATCTGCTTTCAATATGGTTCCATTGACCGAAATTCATTCAAAAGCGAATTCAAGATTGTCCGAAAGGGGCGGATGAGGGCGTTTTTTTCTTCGCTCAAAGGGGCGACAAGAAGTTTTCCCCATGAACCGGATTGGGAAACCTCCCACCCCCGAAAAGGATGGCTCTTGAACAGCACTCTTATTCGAAATGTGACAACTTGCAAGAAATAGCTATTTTGGACCAAACTTTCATGTCACGTGTTTGCGCAGTCCCATAATACACATTGCTGTATAATGCAGTGCATTTCAATTTCAGCAAGGCTCAGTCTATTTCTTATCATCTTAAGACTCCAAATCAATTCAATTAAACCAAGAAAATGAAAGAAACAAATATTAAAGTGAAATTTTGAGCAAAATTTTCTGAGGGGAAATATAGACGTTGACGTGTACACGAAAAGTGGGAGGGAAGCTCGAACGATACGTCACAGAGTGGCCAATTCGTGTTTGATTGATTGCTCCTGCAAAAATTCTTAACTTTTTGTTTACATTTAATCAGTTTTTGCTCAAACTATCACTGACACGTTTATCTCATAGTTCTGCTTCTATTACAACCAACTTGATATCAGGCTGTAACTGTTCCTACATCGTGTAATGGCTTTGCTAGGACTATGAGCGTGGAGGGCGATACTGGGTTTGAGATGTTGTCTGTCATCTTGTATTACCGCTGTGCTTTTGTCCTTTACATTTCACGAATATAACACGTCGTTATAGGCCGTCTCCAATCCCCCCCCCCCCCCTCCCTCACAACTCCCCAACTCCCGGATGTTTACTAGTTTGCACTTTGCAGGCACAACCCCTTGCCAATCGTTGTGCGAAACAATTTCTGCACTATAGGGACTACACTAGGCTCTGTCTTACCCTTGTTTGACACAGCCAGACACTGCAAATACAGGCTCCACTAAAGGATTTAGCAATTGTGGTCAAAGTGCCAAATTAGAGCCTGTGCTTGCTAACTAAGCGTTAACCCTTTTTTCCATTGAATATCAGTCCACCCCCTCCCAAACAGTGCATGCCATGAACTTTTTTGTTTTGTTTGGGAGGGGGTGGACTGATATTGCACGCATTAATAGAAAAGTTATTGTCAATCTGTGATTGGGTCCACTTTCCTTGGTATATAATAATCATTTTGCGTCTTCCATTCGGCTTACAATACAAGAGCCAGAAGCGTATCCACTATTCAATTCGAAAGATTATCTTTGTAGGCTTTCCTTACAATCATTGTTCTGTTTTGTTGTTGTTTTTGTTGTTACATTTGTTTGTTCGTATTTTGTTTAACAACGCGTACGTAAAATGCGAGCGTCGTGGCGTCCGCTTTGGCCTCAATGGCGCCTTGCCCTTAAATCACCATGGCTTAGCATTGCCATATTTCAGGACGACCAAGTCCACTGGGACAAGCATGTCCATGGGACATCTAAAGTAAAGAACCCTTTCAGAGAATGTCCCCGAACTCACAGATGACAAGCCGATCTATTTGGCTTGCCTAAAGAGGGATGATTCATTGAGGAATACAAACCGGGCAGCTGAGGACAATGATCAGAGACATGGTATAGGAATGATGGATGTGCAAGACTCCAAGAGATATCGGAGTACTATTGGAATATCCATCACTACTACATAGATTAAATATCGGAGGTACAGCTGGCCTTAGCTGAGATGAAACATACGCGAGTTATCGAGCTTTGACCCCTCCGACCAGATATCACTTTACTAATGTCTGCTCTCGTCAACATTCCAGCCAGCAGCTGAAAGGGTCTCTGGAGGTATCCAGAGATGTCTTGCGAAGAAGGAGGGGGCATTTGGGACGCAGAAAAGATGGGAACTTGATCTTGACAAGTTGACACGTACATGTATATGTTGGACGGAGAATCGGGATGGTTCCTTGATGATTATGTAGAGCCGACGAAGAAAGAGAGAGAGAGAGAGAGAGAGAGTAGGGCCCTGGGTTCAAGTTCACTTTTCTTTATTAAAATAATTTAACCCGGTGCTGATGATCATTTATTTACGATGTTAATGCCATGTGACGCTACATAAAATAACGTACCACAGTATCGTTCATTGTCATAACAAATATTCAAATAGTATGGTAGAGTCGATGGAATCACATATTCTCTTTTGTCAAGACATTTAATACAATATCAAAACGCTAAACAAAACATGGTTGTATTTGTAGAGCCCTCAAGGAGAGAACAATATGGACGCCGTTGAGACTACAGTGTGTAAACAAAGCATCTATCCATAACCATTATGCAAATAATATCAATGTTGAAAATGTCTCATTTTCAGCGTCATGCACTTCAAGAGATCAGCCACTAACATACCTGCGGAACAATAGCACTGACAAGTATTTGCTTCGTCATTCGTGTTTACTGTCTGGAATAATACAGATTACGTTTTTAATAAATGGCGTCGCCCCAGGGGAGGCAAAAGGAGAGAAAGAGAGAGAGAGAGAGAGAGAGAGAGAGTATCACAGGGGTTCACATTACATTTTCTTTGACAGTATTAAATCTGGCACTGTTTGATAATAAGAATAAGTCCTGGCTGGTCTACTCGTTTAGATGACAGGTCTGTTTTTAATCTTATCGTGTTGGTAGTAAACACTTTGATTATAATGCTGTCTCCGTCTGCAATACCACTCCAGTTCTTGATGCGCGGTGTATTAAGTGAAGGCCTGCACGTCCACGTACAATGTACAGGCAGTGTATACAACTATTGTTGCCAATACAGTTTCTCGTCAAGCAAAAGGAAACAACGTACAGTTAAGATTTGCCTAAAAATTAGAGAAATCATGAATGCATTTCTTGTCATTTTGTAAATAAAAAAAGGAAACAAGAGGTCTAATGAATTACACAATTAATTTTTTAATCCAGATTTTCTCTTTTATTATGAAATGAAAGGGAAACTGATAAAGGCCTGAATAGCATCACGGAGATGAACATGTACAATGTAAACATGTTTTCTCTCCTGGTGCATTCTTTCTCGTCGTTGCGCCAGTGATGTTAATACAGGGTAGGGCTGGGGCACATACCCCCCCCCCCCTCCCACCACCACCACCACCACCACCACCTCCTCCCATCCCCCTCTCAAGAAAATTGATTGTGTAATCTTTGAAATGTTCAACTACAACTAATGTAACGACTACATTTGTTTTTAATTGTTTACCCCCTCCCCAACCATCTGGTCCTGACAATAGATCAACGCCCCTATGTGGCGTAGCCGCTGCATTTTTCTCCGCATATCTCTCCATGACCTCAACGGGACTCTCTCCATTAGTCAGACAAGTTTGTTTAGTTTATCTACCACTCAACTTTGACAGCATGTACCGTATTGTGTAATCTCTTTTCCTCTCTCCATGTCACCCCACTTCTAGTTCTATTTCTTTTGTAATTCGGACTTTACAACCGCTTTAAATCACATTTGACAAAGCCATATCGACAATTGAATATTCCGATACATTTCTCTCGAATTGTGATTGCTTTGGCCACAGAAATAAAGAATGTCAAGAAATGCGTCAAATCAAGGAATAACTCCTTGGTCAAATCATATGCGGGGTTGCAAGCCCTATTTGCGCTGCATACATGGCTTCAGAGTTTCACCATTGAAACCGAGACGGTTTGCAGATGAACTGGTTGTAATGTCCCAATGCCCATGCTCCCGACACGGTCCGAAGATAGAGGCCAATTCCTCCCCGGACAACTATCCCAAGGGCAGTTATCTTCCGAACACCAATCCCAACTAACCTCTGGACAACCACCCCTCAAGACGATCACCCCTAGAGCAATTATGCAGGAGAAACTACGCAAATTGGGATGTGGTCAATCTAAGATGGTGTGGGGGTAATGACCTTAAGGGTAGTTGTCCGGGCTAGTGTCTTAGACATCAGGAGATAGTCCAGGGCCCCGTCTTATTATAAAGAGTCCTCCAACCAATCGCAAGTTTGCAGTCTCCGATCTATAATGTACATATTCGCAATTGATATCAATCGCAACTCTTTATAAGACAGGACCAATGGGTGTGCACCTGATTTTTCATAGTACCCATACTCCCGTAGTCTGAGGAGTGGGGTGTACATGTCCTAGAATCTGAAGAAAACATACAGGATGCCCGATGATTCAAAAGTCTAATATCTTGGAACTCTATACATACAGGGACATAGTTGCCATGATCCCTTGATCACGGTCACGTATTCTCCACTTCCGAATCGAAAGCGTCTTTCAAAAGGCACTTCAGAATGCATCTTGTCTGTGTGGAATATAAGCTTAAATCACTTTTTACTCCGGTAGCGAAAGCTGTGAAGTAATACTGAACAGAGAAGGGTTATCAACTTGACCTTAGAGTAAACTTTAGAAGCCCTGGAGTGCAATTTCAGTCCAGCTGACGTGGTTAACACGAACAACCACACAAAGGAAGAGTTATGTCTTCAGAATTTCTGTTTTTCTTTTCTTCGAAGTCGAGGATTGTTTGTTCTCAGCGATAAATCAGGGGTTTTATTTTCTTTCCTTCTTTCTCTTTATGCCCAGTGTTATTGCACCCGAAATACAGAATTATAATATTTATTTAGATCATGGTTTTACTACGGTAAACCACTTTCTTTCTGTTCTTCATAAATCACCTCATCTTGGAAATGTGTCTTTCTTACTTCTTGTTTTTCTTCTTGAAAATATTAATGGCACACTATGAGTTCAAGTTATGAAGGAAAACAAATGTCTGTTTTCGAGGATTAAAGTTTTGGCCGTGTCATCGTCTGTGAAATTAACTATTCCATATCTGTTTTGTCTTTCTGCAGGTCACACGCAATGTCCGTAACACAACCATCAAATCCTTGTGCGCGGTGGAGGAACTGAACCACTTCTCTCTGTTGAACAGCGAGCAAAGAAGGACTCTCGACGCTCAAGTACTCGTAGACGACGCGCACAAATTTATGTACTGCTTCGTGCCTAAAGTAGCGTGCTCCAACTGGAAGCGTGTCATCAAATACATGAACAACAAGGTGCCCGACTTGGAGACGCCGATGAAGATGGACCACCGTAAAGACTTGGTCTTCCTCCACGATTTCAGCGATGAAGAAATCCAGCTCAGGCTCAAGACCTACTACAAGTTCATGTTCGTCCGGGACCCGACCGAGAGGTTACTGTCGGCGTACAGGAATAAGTTCGGGGAAAATATCGGTTCGTACAACGCCAAGTACGGTCCGAAGATCATCGAGAAGTACCGCAAACCTGGTAAGTTGATTGAAGGTTCGGATCAGTCAATGATTACCTTCGAGGAGTTCTTGCGTTTCCTGGTGGACAGCGACACCCGAAGGATGGATCCCCACTGGAGACCCATGCATGAGCTGTGTCAACCCTGCGCCATGAAATACGACTTCGTCGGATCCTTTGAGCAGTTGTCGGAGGATGCTACGTTGATCATCAATAAAGTCCGTGGGAGCAGTGACGCCTATTTTCCGGCGAGACAGAGCTGGTATAAACCTACGACCGATGAGAAGAAAAATCAACAGCTGAACAATGTCCATCCTACGTACATGAAACAGGTCGTGGATAAGTACGCGAAGGACTACATCCTATTTGGATACCCGCCTCCAATTTCTGACATCACAAGACCAAAAGGTTTATGATCTTAACCTAAGAGACATTCATTGATGTTTATGTTTTTGCATTGTTTCAAATGAAAATATCGATGAGAAATCTAGTTAAAGATATTCTAAATCATTATATGTGGTCAGCTAAATATGAAACCAAAGATATCATTGTTATTATTACACACACAGTGTCCTTTAAATCCCCGTAACCTCAAGTTTGCAGAATTTGACGAAGTGTCTTTGTGATTTGACGTCTTTCGTGAGCACTTCTCTTAACCCGTTGACTACTGAATTATCTATTTCCCAGAGACTAACACAGGGACCACCAGGTTCCAGTAAGCAATGGGTTAACGCCGCTCACCATTGATTCTAGTACACGTGCAGACGTTCCCCGGGTCCCCCAAAGTATGTTTGGTATGCATGCGCCTCTTTTCCCAAGACATTTGACCCTAGATACAGAAATACATCTTGATTACCATACTTTACCAGCTGAGCGATGGCTAGAGCCGAGGGATAGTAGCCGAATGGCACCCCTTCAGTTTTCTCAAGTTAGGTTACTTTATTAATTCGTGTTCGTCCCTACATTTTTCAAATTATAACGCCCCCTTATACCCCCGGTGAATTTCGGAATATTTGGTCCTTCTCTACAGGCTTACTAGGCCTTGTTCGGGAAGGGGAGGACGGAGGTTGCATAAGTATTTGCAAATTTGATCTGACAACCCCCATCTAAAATGATGTAACGTCGCTACCGGCTACGAACCCAATGAGCTCTTTAGAATCAAGTGTAGTTTGACGGAGTATCCCTGTCTATCATTTTCGCTAATGACCATTCGATCTAGGAGATGTCAAAGTGTTTTCAATTCGTGTTTGTGTGTGATTGATGGGATACACGGGAATGAACACTGTCCAGTTGGTTCAAATTGTTGACAAACTGTTGTAGTGATCCGAAATTAACCATCTAGGTTAATGACTTAATGCCCTGCCCTAGAAAAAACATAATGACAGGGTTTTGTTTTTACTGATAATGGATCTAGTTAATTTATATTTGCCACATTAGTAGTTCGTATCGTGCACTTTAAAACACGAACGGAATCAGGGGGACTGAAAAAGTTGGCCTTGATGCCGATATTGCAAATGGACAATGTTCACGCAGGCGCAGGACGGATTATGGAGAAAAGAAATAGGGGGCATTCTCACAAGCAAACACTCCGCGGAGTTTGGAAGAGTTGGTGTAAGTGATGGGAACGGCCCTCATGATGTGTAATGCAGGCTGAAATGGGATTGTACACAATATACTTGTATAGGCACACGAGTTCGTGATCATTCCGGAATCACTATGAAATGGCTATTACTGGTCAATGAAAAATAACATTGACGAACGAAATTGATTTATATGTCCATGTGTGTGTTTAAATTTTTATCATCATAGTTTGAATAGTGAATAATTATACTGTATTTAGTTTTTATTCACTTAGAAATTGGCGCTATGATTATGAAAAATTCTTGAAAATATGTATCTTACGCAGTATTGATTTTAACTGGCACTGTGGAATACTGTTACTGAGTAGTTTATATACAGTGTACCTCAGTGTAACGTTTTTGTAGATGGATAATTTAATTTTAAAAAAGAAAAATGGGAGAAACAGGACAGTAAAACTTTGTTGAAAATCAATTGAAACTAGAGTTTTTACTCTTGAAGGTTGTATTTGTAATCACAACTCTTAGACGTAACTTTCGAGGACCATTTGCTTAAAACCATTTGTTGTTCGAGTGCATTTAAGTAATGCTGAATGACGTTTGTCACCACCGCCGCCTTATTTGAACTATATCTTTCTTGTTTTATTTCATTTATTTTTTGTTTATTTTGGGGGCAACTAACTGCCTTGACACGCTTATACGTTACTGTTGGGAGATGGGGGTCATGGAATTTCGTTGGTCACTTTGGTTTACTTTGATTAATCTTTTTAGTAAACATAGCATGATATTAGTATTGATCTTAGGCCAGTTATAAATACATTATGAGCAAATATGTTGTGAGCTAATATATTGTTATTTTAAGCATTAGCAGTACTCGATGAAATGTTCAATCGATCTAGTTTTATTAAATGTCATTTCCCGTTGTACATTTCATTGAATTTACATGAATTTGATTGGGAAGGAATATTTGCATTTCTGTTTTGCGTAACTCGTGTAACCACTTGCTTAGTGATGAGGATGTGTTTTTTCATATATTTTTTAGTGAAATTATGTATTCGATGTGGTATGTACTGACAGTATCTATATGTAAGTCTATGTTGTGTTTGATATCACGTCTATAATTCTAACGATGCCTGTCTATTACCAATTTTAAGAATAATATTATATAGTTTTCTCCTATAATTATTTAAAAGTTATCAGTTTTGGCTTATCAACCTGTGCTTCAAAATAACTAGGAAGGAGAGAGGAAAGCAATTGTGATAGTTTAGTATAGGAACAGTCGTACATCACTGAGCAATACTGTATGGTTATGATAATGCTAGACTACTATACCAAGTTTAAAATTTTGAATATAAAAAGAGTGTTCTAATATTTTTTTCCATACCTGATATTACTTGCATTCTGATATTGACATGAAATGCTTGCTTTTTCAAGAGCAATTATCTTGTCTTTTATGTTGATTTAGCTGTGTTTATGCAGGGGTATTTAAACTGAATACACATGCACTATTCGTAATTTCAGTATCGAATTTGGACATTATTTTGCTAATGTAAACTGCAATCGTGCTCTCTGTCTGATTAAACTCGCAAACAGATTCCAGTCCCAAATATTCCAAGTTGAAATTCTACCGTCTACTTTCAGAGACTGTCGTACATGTTACCGGAATAAAACTTTCCAGATTATAACATAATGAACTTCGACAAAGGTAGAATTTCCTCTTTTCTCAGGTAGGCTTGGGCTACCTATATCCTGGACTATTATATGTGCTACACAACTACACAATGTTTATTTTCAAGTATATTCGACATAAATTAGCACTAGTATTCGTGAGGTACATGTAAAACCTAATTTGACCAGTGGATGCTTGAGTATCACGACATGGCTATGTTTACATGAACGAATGGGGTAACAACCTTACTATGACAATGGTTCATGATGATTTTTATGTTTGAAAGTTGCATGTCTCTATGAACTTATAGGTCAGTGACCTATTGAAATTAACCACTGACAATGGGTTCATATCGATTCATACGTATGTCGAACAAACGAATTTCACGATTAACAAACAGAAACTAACCTACTTTTGGTAAAACTAATTTCGAACAATATTACATTTAAAATTACATTTTATTCGACTAGGGACCCAAGAGTTTGAGGCAAAGAAGAAAAATCAGTCTGTCTGCCGAGACTTCCGAGCTCGAACTACACAAATTGTGATCACTAGAGTCACTAATGGGAATGCTAATTTTAAAAAAATGTGTTGCGTATACCTTTCGAAATTCTGGTCATGTACATGTATGAACAAATTAATTTTGTGCGAATCATATGCTTGATATATTTTGAAAGTCTAAAGTGATATTTGAACTAATAAATATTGTATGAAATGAAAATTGCCTTGATTGTTTCTGTTCTCTTAATTATTATAGCCTCAAAGTAGAATGAAGCTTGATGCCAATGAGACTTCCCCCGGTACATGAACATTATTATTTTATTATTATTATTATTATTATAAGTCGATGATGGCGTTGATTATGATGATAATGGTGATGATTATGATAACGATGATGATGATGATTATTATTATAATTATCATTAATTTATTATTATTAATATAAGTTGATGATGATGATGATGTTGATGATTATGATTTTGATGGTGATTATGTTGTTTATGATGACGATAATGATGATTATTATTAGTAGTAGTATTATTAGTAGTAGTATTATTAGTTGTATTATTTTTATCATTATCATTTTCATTATTATCTAAAGGGAAAAAACCATGAATCACCCGTTTCCCGTAGGCAATGGATTAAGGCATTTTCATAATTCATGTCTGATCATGGATAAGTTATCGTTTCAATGGACACGATTATCTAATATAATGATTTAATAATAATAATTTAATTTATTTTTGATTAGTCATAGGATTGGTCGCCCATTATAGGTTCCTTACCTGAGGACGTCGTCACGTTTAAGCTCGGCCTACTGCGTTTTTTCAATTTTGAAATGATTTGTCAACTGTGTTTTTTGAAAGGTATAATTGATGTATATTATATGATATGATTATATACGTTAACATTCAGACAAGGATTGAGAGTCGAGAACGGTACAACGAATCGTCTTCTTTCTCTTAAAATTTAATGAAACGTCAAAACTTCCGCCCCCCCCCCCCCCTCCTACCCCCGCGCCCATCATGTAGTGATTCGCACGCTTTGTTAACTACCCCCCCCCCCCCCCCCAACAAAAAATAAAAATAAATAAATATTTGCGGTGTGTGCAAGTTAAACACATGTATCAGCTGACATCTTCGGCTGTCTTGTGTCTTAATTTGTTGTATAGGTTGGTTTGGCTTGTTCCCTAGTCCAGAATCTGGCCGAATTAATTTGATAATCTCCACCACAGCAACGCGATGCAACCTCCCCTACTTACTCAACGTCAGCCGAAGGTGGCGTGATCCTAAAATTAGGACGCGCGGCGTTATTTTTTTATGCGGCACAGATTGGGGCATGGCGCGTGTTAAATCTATGGGAAGTACGTTCTTTCCCTTCTGAATAGTGTCTGCACGTACGTGAGACTAGTCATGTTTATAGCTAGCGCATAAGCGCTGCGAAGAAGTTTGTATATCTATCGCGAACTATGTGTTTAGATAACATTCCTCTTCGTTTAAATTAGTTAAGTTTTATTGACTAATTATTGTGATGTTCTCCTTATTGACGTGCTGCCTCCTCTTCAGATTTCCAATTTGATTTTAATTGTTGATGTAATGATTTTCCATGCGGTAGTGGATTAAATATAACACTATTAAAAACTGACCTCTACTACTTATACTGTCTAGTACGCACACGACCAGTATTAGTCTGTAAATCAAGACCCCTTTTTAAAAAAAGCCCCAATCTGTGCCGCATAAAAAAATAACGCCGCCCGGCTTTAACAAAAGAAAACTGGGCCATAGGGCTGATGGGCGTACGAGTTCGTTGATAACGCCATCTTCGGCCACTTGAATCAAGTGTAGGAAATATAGACTTGTATTATTTTTGTTTCTCTTATCCTCAAGCGAAGTTTTTATTTCCATAATTTCAATACATATCTACAATAATTTCTCAATGATTGAGTGAAACAATACATGGGCTAAAAATTAAAGTGTACTCAACAATTCTTCCATCTTAGTATTATCTCTTTGCTAACACATTCGGTATCTTAGCAACGACTTGAAATTTTGTTTAAGTATGTGGACTAAATAGGCTTCTATTATATAACCGGCCAGATTCTAGATTTCCTGTTCCCGTTTATATTTCGCACAAAAATACGTTCACTTTGTTTCTTTGCTCTCTTATTTGCATTTAGCTTTCATAACCTAACTGATCACTGTATCAATTCTCTTCAAATTTTCATTTTCATTCCATGTATGAATTCTAGGCCTAAACAGGGGCAACATGTGACGTCATACTGGCCAAAGTTATCGAGGTTGCTGGTCCCAAACAATTTTGCTGATCCCAATCAACGGTGTGGTGATCACACTAACCCCAAAATACTGAATGTGCCCCGCTTAGGTGACGTTGCTTGAATGATTTCGCGGTGAACTTGATTGTCTGATTATCAAGATATTTATGATTGGAATTAGAAATTTGAAAAACCGTTTTCCCAACGGTTTTTATAACACTTAATTGGGTCAATCATTATAGAATAATATCCTTCTTCACTGCCTCCTCCTTCCCCAAGGTATGATCCCAGGAGATTGACATCCCAGAAAATGAAATTATCAAGACTAGGACAACCTACCCTGATGTACTGATGAAAACATTTCCATTCTATTTTTAACCGGGTCTGTTTCTTTTCCAATCTGTCGGCCTGGATAGTGAAAATGCTACTGCGTGACGGGTATGAGGTATCATTATCAAAATAGCCTAATTTTTCATGGCTTAATGATGACATAGACATGAAACAAAAAATGAATGTTACGTACCCCCCCCCCCCCCCTCTCTCTCTCTCTTTCTCTCTCTCCCTCTCTTTCTCTCTCTCTCTCTCTCTCTCTCTCTTTCTCTCTCTCTCTCTCCATCTGTAATTACTTTCCACACTGCTGAAAATCTCTTTCAAATAATGAATTAAAACCATTTTGTTTTGTTTTTCACACAATATTTATTCAAAGGAACAATTGAAAAACTAAAAAAACTAAAACACATTCCATATTTGTTCTCACTTTTAAAGCACCGCAAAATGACAATTTTAAAAACCCTCCACCCTCACTACATGTACGTGTATACTAATTTGATGGTTGATGACTCATTCCCTTTTATCGAATATCAGTTTGGAGGGTGAGCTTGGCTGAATACATCTACGCAGACAAACGAGTCGGGAGGCCGATGGATGCAGCCTCCACCCCGGGAATTATTGAATTACAGGTATTCGGGCAACGTCAACTCATATTTGGAAAGGGGGGTTGCTCTGTTTTAAAGATACTATGCCCCTTTTGCAGCCAACATCAAATTATGTAGAACTTTGCAGGAATTAAGAATATGTCATGTATGTCCTAGCTGTGAAATTTAAACGTTAGCAGTGTCCTAATATTCAAATTATGCAAGAAAACCTGTCTACTTGCTAGACTTCACTGTCAAACACTATTGATTGACTGACTGGCTTTTTTTCTTCTTTGGTATTTAACATACATATAATGAGCTGTAAAGGGTACATAAGCATTTGTCTACATCAATAACCCACTTCTTGTAATTGCCAAAATTAAACTGATTGAATCTTTGCGCAGCATAAAACGGACGACCATTCGGTACAATGGTCTGAAAATCAGATTTGACAACTAATAGTCGTTATTTTCCCACTTAAAGACATTTTCAAGCCCCTTTTTTTAGGGAAGTTCTAAATTAGTATTATCTTTCAAATCCCGTTGGAATTTAACCTTATCATTTTGGGGGCCTGCAAATAGGACATAGTACCTTTAATATATCTTGCAGTATATTGTCATGACAACAATAGTTTTCACAATACTACACTTTGAAGTTGGACACTGCAAAGTTGATATTAAGACAAGGGCCCTTAGAAAACCTTACTGTTAGATTGCAACTTTAGTGATGAATATAGATATGATTAGTACCTTCTTTAATTGACTTTGTTTTAGTTCTGAGTGAACTAAATACACACAAAAATAACCAACTTGCAAATACTACAAACATCAGTCGCTAGCAGAAATCGAGAAGCAGCACCACACAAATAAGCATCAATTTAACGTCTTGCGACTTCGTATATATACATGTAGAACAGTCAGTTACATTACTCGACATTTAACAATGATTTAAGCATGCATTATATAATACTTAAAATCAAAATTTATACACAATACATAAGTCAGCATCATCACGAACATCACGGGAAACAATAGTTATACTTCTGTAAAGTAATCAGCTGTCGGTCATTTACAATCAGGCAAGGTTTAAATTTTATCAGTTTGAGTGTCTCTCTTTTCGGGTCATGCCCTAGATATTCCTTTACCGAGAGTATGAAAATCACTTATAACCTATCTAATGTCTGAACTCCTTAGTTAAGACGTAGTGTATTTCACAATCTGATGTAATTAACGTTGTTGAATTATATTTAATTATGTTAAATTATTTTCGTTCAATGTACTTACCTTATTAGGCGCCTTGAGCATCTCTTGGGGTGGATATGTGCGCATTATAAATGTTGTTATTATTATTATTATTAACTCCGTTAATTGAATTACATTGGATTGAATTAAATTAAATTGAGTTGATTTGAATTGAATTGAATTGCTTTGAATAGAATTGAATTGATTTGAATTGAACTGAACTTAATTGAATTGGACTGAACTGATTTTAATCGGACTGAATTGGTTACATGTTTTGACCCTAAAGTTTCATTGCTTGACATTCAACAATTATTTAAAGCATGCATTATCTACTTTAATTACGAACTTCTACACAATACATAAGCTTCATCACGAACACCACAGGAAAAAAGTAATACTTCTGTTAAGTAATCAGCTGTCGGTAGTTTACAATCAGGCAAGGTTTAAATTTGATCTGTTTGATTGTCACTCTTTTCTCCTTGAATAAAATTGATTTGAAGCGAAGTAAACTGAATTTAATTGAACTGAATCGAATCGAATCGAATTAAATTGAATTGGTTACATGTTTTGACCCTAAGGATTCATTGCCTCAGGAAAAAAAGAGTGATACATTCGACGTCTCAGTTTCTTCTCATATCTTACACAATTGTTTTCATTCAGCGCGTGCAGATCGGGTCTGGTCCACTCCACTTCCCGCAGGCTAGACACGCCCTCTGCGGCTGACCAACCAGGTTGTATCCCCCAAGGCACTCGAAGAACGTGGTGCTACCCATCCCGAACTGTGTGGAGTCGGCCTTTGTGTGGATGTCCGGCTCGCTACAGCGCATCGTCCAGTCCTCTATTGGAGAAACAAGTGTGAATTATTTCATCAGAAAATCTTCTACCATCATTTCTACCAAGACTAGGCTACTGTGGAAGGAACTTGAATTAGCAACCGGCACTGCAGTCAGTCATTACATCAATAACAAATAGCCTCGATGATGAATACGCATGGCAAAAAATATCCATGATAATATATTTCCTCAATCTACATGTAAATAACCTACTCGTCTATACTCAAACTTTGGCATCCAGAACAAAACCAAGAAACTTCCCAAAATGAGAATACCTTTTAAAAAAATGTAAGCGCTTTGGTCAGTAAATGGTAGAGCATTTTTTAGGAAAATGTGTTTGTTACTCTCGTTATTTTAAATTTATTTAAATCATTATCATTATCATTATTATGAGTAGTAGTCGTAGTATTAGTAGTATAATTCTAAAATGTTATTTCATAATATTATAATCCATAGTTAAGATCGGTTGATCATCCTTCCTCCTCGAAAATCAATGATCTAACATGAAAACATTTGTATTGTTTTTTAATGATACAAATCTTCTGGGATCTACAAACGCAATCTACCAGAAGCTTCCATAAATAAACATATTCTTCTGTTCTGTTTGGGGCGGGGGTGGTGTTATAACGATTTTACATACGTGTATCAATCAGATGTGTTTAAAGGGAAATCCAAACTTATATAGAGGAAAGCAGAACAATCTGAGAAGTAGACCGATGAAAGTTTGAATGAAAATCACGACCCCTTGATCAAACATCCAATTAATAATTCGTATAAACTTAGTGATTTCATATTTAAAACATTCATGACTTTATTATTATTTTTTGTCTGCTTTCATAGCAAATTAACTTTTTACAGCAACAGCAACAGAACTCGGCTCGTATAGATTCGGGGATCACAACACATCTTCGGCTCGTCCAGAATCTGGCCGTTTCTGCAACCAGCCAAAGATGGCGTTATGAGCGTTATGAGCGAACTCGTACGCCCAGGTCCAGGATTTGTTTTCGCCGGGCGCCCGACTTCGAGGATCACGCCATCTTCGGCTGGCAACAAGTAAGTATAGTAGAAAGAGATGATTAAAGATCGCATTGCGTTGGTGAAGATCGTTAAAATTAAATAGGCCAGATTCTAGACTCATCTTCGCCTTGCAGAACGTCCGGGGAGATTGCGGTGATGTGTATATTTTTGTTTAAATCCCCCACTGCACTAATTTTAGCTACTTGCGCCCTCTATATAGTCAACAATGCCTAAGCGGTACCCGTTAATCCCACACGATGCCCTTTTCCTTATGTTAATTGAGAGCTGATTTGATGAGATAACCACCTGTCAGTGACCTTGCAGGGAGGTCTATGCCCAACTTGTGCAGAGGGGCTTAAAATGAAATCGACCTGATCCTGGACTAATCCATGTGAGGATCACCTTACCTCTGACTACGATGACAACCTGTTCGCATCGCCCAGTCTCGGTCTGGTCTTGCGGCCTCAACACCTGAGTATTTTCTGGACAGTACGTGGTACCACCGAGTTCGCCAATCCTGAACTTTGGTTTCTTAGAACAGGGCGATGAAACCCTGACCTGACCGCCCATCTTAAAATGGGTGCAGGTTTGCCCCTCCCCGCTGGTCACACTCGTCGAGGTGTAGGAGAAATCGACGCCATGAACCCTTGGAAGGAAGAAAAAGAGAATCCATAAATATTATCGTTTATCAATATTTGTATCATTCTTATTATTGGCCTAAAAAATTCATACATTGTACATAAACAAACAAACAAAGGAACTTATTCCAAATAGATATAAAAGGGTGCCTTTTATGTACTTTTTCTTCTCTGATGGTCAACAGTAGTCGTCACCACAACATAGACATAAGAATATTTCAAGATATTTTTGTTAAAAGTTGTTAAAAAGAAACATACCATATCTTTGAAGATATGCACAATATTATTTGGGTATCTATTCCCTGTCATTAATCTACATTTGCCATACTCCACCCAGATGAGGTAAATGGGTAACCGGTAGGAAGAATTTCTAATTGTATGATTGCAGGACCCTCGATGAGAACAGTATGAATACTGATGAAGCTACCCTTAGTAAACAAGACATATTATTATTATTATCATCATGATAAACATCATATCTTACTCGACAGGGACGAAACTGGCGACCCGTTTGCAGTTCTTCTCGTAGCACGTCTTGATGATCAGACAGGATGTCTCTGGCCAGGGTTGGATGGCGCTCCACCATGTGAAATGACGGGCCTGGAAGCTCCACACTAGCTCTCCGGCCTTATTCTTCAACTTACCGATGCCATCTTCTTTCCAAGTGCCTGCATACAAAGAATACATAAACATGAGAAAAGGAAATATTATAGGAGATTTAATTACATGTACAAAGAACACTTGTCATTCGTTGCTTCGTGCAAGAAGTACAAGTAAAGTCTGAACGTTAACACGTTATAAAGAACGGAATCACAATGGACCGGTTTGCTCCCGTATTCAGATTTGTATGCACATTTTTTTTTAACAAACTAGTTGTTCTTGAAAAAATGAAAGCTTTCCCAAGGCTTGTCCGACACAGCAACACATAATGTATGCAGACGGGATTCCAAGTATTTTAATTAATTCATTAATGACAGGTTATTGGAATAACTCGTCACGAGGACCCCAGAAACATTTTTAAAAGTGCAACATTGATGGATTATTTTATATGGGGACTTTGCTCTTACAAGCCCAGCTTTTCTAAGGTCTCCACTTTCTTTCATTTGGATTATATATCGACTTAAAATTGCACTTAAATTGTTTTTTCTTATGCTTTTTTTGTTGTTCTATTATTATATGTAAAAATGTTGTGAAAGAAAGAAATAAAATGAACCTTGAACCTTGAACCTAGAAAAGCAAAATCTATTAATTTGAATAATTATCTTAATAAACCAGTCTATTTCTTTTTGTTCTCATCGCTGAGGAAATATTTGCAATTTTAAATCATGAAGATCATGAGCTTCTAATACAATAGTTAGTCATTTTAATCCTTGCTGCGTGCTTGCCCGACATAGCATGGAACGATGTATGACAACTGTCTTCTGATTATTACAATACCTCGCAACATGTGTAGTCGATAATTTTTCATTTGAAGCTTCCATGATAAACTTTGTTATATATTTTGTGAACTAGTTCAGTTGATGATTGGGGTTTGAGGGGGGGCGCTGCACAAAGAACACATTCCCCCACCCCCGCCAAATTACATCAGCCACGCCTTCAATACATATATCAGAGTTTATACGAAACAAAACAAAACTAAGCAACAAACAAAATGTACCTGTGGGCACCCCCCCCCCCCCTCTACTGAAGTAAAAATAACATGTAGGGCACTGTTTTATCAATAACAAGTGTCGTATTTCTATTTGAGTTACTTAGGATTTCTGTAGCTTATTCTCACAACAGTAAAAACAAAATATAGTAACTTGTTATAGATATAGAAATGTATGAAAATAGACTGGGCTCTGTTTCATAAAACATTTCGTCAATAACAAGTGCCACAGTTCTATGACGCATCTGCTTGTAGCCAATTAACTGCAAAGATGTATCTTGTTATTGATAACAAGTTTTATGAAACGGGCGCAGGTCTATGAGAGAAAATGTCGGTCTATCGTATTCGTAGATACGAGGAGGGAAAATGCTGATCTGTCGTAGATAAAATCACTGCATGCGTTTATACAGAGACGGAGAATGTATAATTGGCCATTGAATCTGAAACTGAATAATTTTAAATACATTGTTAATAGGGGTCATAGAAGCGCTCTTACATATTTCTTTATGATTTAAAATGTTTAAAAGTAATATTTTTCCAGATTCCTCCCCCCCCCCCAAAGAGAGCGTTGTCTTTTCATTTTCAGAGCTACTTAACTCTTACCTGTCATTTTATCAAAGTACCAGGCTGGGATTTTGGTTCCATGATGGGCGCCTCTCGGCTTCCTATCGAGAGGAAATACGGCGTTGAATGGCAGCACGACGTCGACAAGATCATCGGTCTCCGCGTTGACCACCGTCACTTCGGCCATCGAAAAGGCCTCTAGTCCGGTCAATTTCATACCTTGATTAGGAGAAGAAAAAGATTTGTTGGTATATGAGGAAAAGATTTTCCTAAAATAAACCTATTAAATACAGTTTGAATAGCACTGTGCATCACACATTACGTACTCTGAAATGACTTCTATGGGTATTGAAATTGCCCCGAGTTTAATCTGTGACAGTCTGTGTGACCGTGTTGAACGAAGAATGCTAATATTGTACTGTTTCACTCCTCATTCGTGAAAATTTGCAAGGATGTTCGTGTACCACAATAACGATCAACAATAAATTGGTTGATAACTATTTACGAGGCGGTAGGGTACTGAAAAGTCGTAATTACGTGGAAATAACCAATATTCGGTCAACCACCATTTATATATTCCGGCCGGAAGATGGTTTATTATATTTGTTTGTGTATCTTGAAATCAGATGACAAAAAGACGCCGCCACTTTGATCCCCCATCGTGTCAAAGGTTTATGCTCGCTCGCTTCGGTTTCTCAACAAAGAAAGAAGTATCAGTAAAAAAACAAAAAAATGGCTCACCGTCTGGTGATTCTGTTGCACCAATCAGCTCAGGAACTTCTTTCAATTCAGTTGGATGACTTGTATGCACACCGGAGAATCTAACCTCGACGACACTCCCATCTGTGACGTTCAAACTCCCTGTAAGTTATGCACATTGCGAAATAAAAAAATGATTAAGGTTATATGTTTTGCCCGCCTGGGTACCTGCCACTGGAACCAAGATACCATACTTTGTCGTGTGATGTTCTTGTTTTTTTTCCTTTTAATCTTTTTCTTCTTCTTTAACTTCATATTTCTAAACAATCATAATCAACAACAAAATATTTTACAATTAAAAAAAAAAACATACAAAAAAAAATCGATAACATTAATTTGCTACAAAATTTGCTACACTTATCTAGAGCGGACATACGAACACATTTGATGGCCAAAGTCTGGAATTCGATTAGAACATTGTTTGTGAATCTTTTTTTACCTGCTGGGATGTCGAGTCTGTAAGGAATTTTGTGTTCAGGATGTCTGAACTCTACAGAATGGTCCTCCTCAGACATCCAGACGAATTGCTCCGTGAACGAGTGCTTATGAATCAAGATTGGAAGAACATTTTCTGAAAGAAAGAACATGAAATCGAATATTTGACTTAATATTAAAGGAATGGCATACTGCCTATATGCTAGTTTGGTTCCACTTTCTCAGCCCTGTTGTTGATTTATGTTTTGGTTTGTTCTAAATATTTCCCTTGTCTTGCCACAAAGATAATAATCCCTTATTCCTATGATGTTGAACCGTATTTTATTTAGAGCACTTAAGGGATCTGGCATTAGGACGTTATTGCGACCTCAATCACTTTAACAGTACTCTCTTTGCGTCCTCGACACAAAGGGGCGTAGTTATGCGAAACAACCTTCTAATCATCTCCCTAAAGCAACATAATGTGTGCATCCTCATTCCATGTTCGTATGAGACACTGCAGTGGAGAAACAACTAATCGCCGTATTAGAGCCCGTTAGAAATTAGTCGTCATTTTGATGAGAGAGTTAGATGATAAACGCAGTCATTATGACCGTCCATGAGCAAATAAGGACAACAGAGCGCCGTTGACGCAACGCGAAGTTAACAGGGTTTTTGGACTCTCTGCTACCTTCAATGTTACTATATTTTCACTCAGTAAGAGTTTGAAGGAAATCGAGATTTCATTGCACTGGCTGATCGTGGAACCAGCCTAATGACGTTGATTGTCAATCCACGATAGTGTTACACAAGGTTTGTTTCCATTCATTATCAAAGTGCATACTTACTCACTCCTGGTTGGAAGCAGTAGGTGAATGATGTCTCCAGATACCCCGTCTTGGAGGCCACGACGATGACGGGCTCGTCTAAGGGTATATCCAGCAAAGCAAGGCCGTCCCCGGTGGTGTAAGCAGTGATCAACGAGTCATTCACCGTCGAGGAGTTCGTCATGGATGAGTTCCCTGTCGACGAGTTCGTCATCGAGGAATTCGTCATTGACGAGTCCGTCATCGAGGTATTCGTCATCGAGGAATTCGTCATCGAGGAAATCGTCATCGAGGAATTCGCCATCGACGAGTTTGTCATTGAGGAATTCGTAATCGGGGAGATCGTCGTTGTCGTCACGGGGAAAATTTCGATGGCCGGTCTGATTATCCGAACCTGTACGTTAGGGAGCAAAGCCTGCTGGGTCGAACCGTCCATGGTCAACACGGTAAGTCCGGTCGGAGGGGGAGTAGGGGGAAGGGTGGTGGGTGTGGTCTGGGGAATGGTTGTCGCCGGTTCTAAAGTTGTTGTCGGAGCTGGCTGTGTTGTAATCATTGGTTTAGAGGTTTTGGATGGCTCCGTGGTGGCCGAGGGATCTGGAGTTGTTTAAATTTCATGATAAGTAGTTGGTTCAAGATTAAACGTTCGGTCGGAGGTCGTCAGGGTTATTGTTGTTGCAGGTAATTGTTGTAGGAGGCAGGGCATGTGCGAGAGAGAGAGGTAGTAGCAGCCACACATGACACCAAAGGTGTAGATGTTGGAGATGTTGTGCGCGGGATAGTAAGAATTAAAAGAAGAACATGGGAAATATTAAGTGAAATCATGGAAGGTTTCGAATTGCATACATGTACGTTCTTGCATCACCCTAACATTTCTTATATGTGATTTTTTTCTACAAAACGAAGAAAAGAAGACAATCAACATTGATATTAGCATTTGCTTCGTAGGTATATTTAGTTCCCTGCATTCCTGGGTGATTGCAGACACTGAAATTATGATTCAACACAGGAAGTTTAACAAAACTGCTAAATCTTCTTGTATCATTGATCTAAGTAAGAATCGGCAACGATCATGATGATCCTAGGATATTGTGTATTAAAATCTTCTTTTCTGGGTCCATTATGCAACCGCTCATGAAAATCTCCACGAGATAAACAAAAATCGACTTCATGATCCCTCACCCACTCCCTGCCCTAATGAATCAGTTTTAAGTAGATGAAGATATAGCGCTATTCTTTTTTGAAACTGGGCGTAGTTTTACCTCTTAACACGAGGACGACCTCTTCGCACTGCCCCATCTGAGCCTGACCCGGCGGTCTGAGCACCAGCGTATCGTACTCCAGAGGGCAGGACGAGCCACTTACGGGGTTACCTGCAACCAGCTTGGTCTTCCGAGAAAAGGGGGACGAAATCCTGACGTTGCCCCCCATTTTAAATTGGGCACATGTCCGCCCCTCTCCGCTGGACACAGTTGAGGACGAATAGGAGAAGTCGACGCCATCGACCCTGGGGAGGAGGAAGTAGTGACAACCTTGAAATTTCGTCTACTCCTGCAAACACAGGGTAGCACTGGCAAGGAAAAATAATTTTTCTGATAGACGACCTAACTTTGTTTTTTATCAGTAGTACAGTTGTACAGGTTCTTCTTTATGGCATTGTCACTTTCTAGGATAGTACGTGTATCTTTAATATGTGGAACAAAGTTCTTATTCTGAGTGGTTATTAGTTTGCCGCCCGATCCCCAAAAATATGCAGTTTCTTTCACATTTTGCCATGTAATAAGACTAACTGAACCGGTATGATTAAACTTCCCCTATTGTGTCTAGGTGCAATTGTGGGCACACAAACAGACATTAATACTTAATCGGTAGAGAAGAATAAATTATTAAACATTTTTGACGTATAAGGTAGAAATGTTACTATTCCAAAGTAATCATGGTAAATAACATTTGATTAATGATACTTAGGGCCTAGACATTGGCTGAAATTCCATCTTCTCCTCTTCTAAATCTTTCAACAATCTTATTAAATAGAGAAAAAGAGGATTGTCCTACTCGACGGGGGTGAAGCTGGCGATTTGTAGGCATTTCTGGTCGTAGCACGTCTTCACGATGATGCAAGAGGTTCCCGCCCAGGGCTGCATAGCACCCCACCAGGTAAAATGCCTTGCCTCGAAGCTCCACACCGGCTCTTTAAACCGATCAAGTCTCACTTTGCCAACGCCTCCTTTCCTCCAAACGCCTGCAAAACAAGCAAAGGTTGTTGTTTTTATAACATTTTTAAAGTACAGAAGTCCTCAATTATTCTTGAATGATGTTGATATATGGGTCTGCACACGCATGGGACATCATAATTTAGTTCAAAACTTCCAACTTTTGCTAGTTATTGATTGGTATTTGGATCAGTCAACCTTCTTTGAAGAAAAATGATTTCGTACCTGTCGTTTTATCAAAGTACCACGCTGGTATGCGACTCCCTTGACGAGTACCCCGGGGTTTTCGGCTAAGAGGGAACTCGGCTTCGAATGGCAGCATAAGATCGACTGGTTGTTCGTTGTCCATATTGACCACTGTCAGCTCAGCCATAGAGAAGACTGCTAAGCCTATTAGTGTGGTTCCTAAAGTTGAAGAGCAATTTATATTGGTCACTACATTTGAGGGCGGGATCACTTACACCCCCCCCCCGGGGGGTATTTATTTGTTGTTATTACTATTATGATTAATATTATTTTAGTTCTTATATCTTTATCGTCATAATTATTGTTATCAACATTATTATCATAATCAGCATTATCATTCATTGAGTAACCCCCAACAATAGCCCGTTCTATATTACAAGTGTAACTTTTCATATTAAAAAGATACTCCTCTCAACTACCCTGCGATGATATATATAATACATATATATGTATATATATATATATATATATATATATACAAATGACTGTACAGATCGTTATCGGCATAAAACAAACGATTATTCATTAAAAAAAGCATTCATAAAAAGTTCTGCCAGAAAGAAAAAATATGTCTTATATAATCAAGCTGTATTTATTTAAAGGACCCATCAGTCCGTTCAGTGCTGCAGTACGTATCTCGATAATTAAGGAAAACCATTGTCCTTCAATAACGTCCATCTCTGTGTCGGGTGAAAGTGTTGCTTACCTTCCGATGAGTCTACAGCTCCAATGAGCTCAGGAGCCTGCCTCAGTTCGGATGGATTACTCGTATCTACATCCTGGAACTTAAACTCAACACGGCTCTGCTCCGGAGTATCAAGACTGCCTAACAATATAACAAAAACAAACAAAAAACTAAACAAACCAACATCAAACAAAAATTATGCTACCAAGGTATATTAAACTGATGTTAGCAAACTTGAACCATTTCTAACAAGTGTTCTCATATCCACTTCTCCTCGATGATTATGCTTCTAGATGATCATGCTGAAGTAATATAGAGCGTACGTTAATTATGTCCTGCATTTAACATCATAAACAAATATGTTGAAATACGTTGAAATGTCTAAATTATGTGACTGGCTACTTATGATCAACTATGTTTACTACTTTACTCGAAACTGCTTAGGATATCGAGCTAATCTTGCTGAGTATTAACCAAATATGTCTAGCGGTGTGACATTTTGCATTACGACTGGCATGTGAGCCATATTTCATGATTTGTGTGGTAGGGAACATTTTGTTTAATCGCATTAGATTTGCTATAGAATTTCGTCACTACGGAATTTCCAAGAATTTGATGACTTCGTTACCTGCTGGAATTTCAAAACTGTACGGAATGCCTTTAAATCTTGGCCTGAACTCCACCAGACGATCAAGCCCCGACATCCAAGTGATCTCCTTCCTCATCGAGTGCTTCTGCATCGAGATGGTATGAATGTTTCCTGAAACGAACAGACAGGGAAATCATCAAACTTTATTTTTCGGTTTAGTTTATTGGGGCTCACTAGCCACGATCTGCCAGCGTAAAAGCTGTTGCCCTCCCTTCATATTAAACTGATGCAAATTTTATTGTCGATTTTGTATAGTTTGTAGATATCAAGATGATGAATGAATAATGAATAACGAATAAAGTCATCTTCACTGAAGACGCTTCTTCTGCTTCTTCTGTTTACAAACACCCTTGATACAATTTTTTTCCTTTCATTCTTCTTCCTAGTCATGTAGTGAAAGCATATTCCCATATTCTAATTGTATCAACATGATCGATCCGCATCAAGATATCATTAAGACAAACATCATGCCCTCTAATCATGACAAAGGTGATACTTATCCTTTTTGTATTACGTAATAAAGAGGTGTTTAAATAACAAGTTTTGCAAATAAAATTGTACTCACTCTCTTCAGGTTTTAAACGGTAAGTCGATGACGTATCCAGGTATCCCTTCTTGGAAGCGACTATGATGAGCTGTTCGGCTGTCGCGATGTCCGCCCACATCGTACCATTCGCGTCGGTCGACGAGTTTGCGATCATCACGGACCCATCTTGGACAGTTAGTCTTATTATCCGAATTTCCACGTCAGCCAATGGGACTTCAAAGGCCGAACCATCCCTGGTCAACACGGTAAGTCCTAAAGGTGCGGGCAACGAAATCATCGTCGTCAAAGGCCACTCTTGAGCAGTTTGTCGGACTTTGCGAACCTTGACGTCAGACAGCAGAGCGTCCTGTGCCAAGTTGTCCATGATGAGCAAATTAAACCAAATCGGAACCGGTGTGATAGAACGAGTTGTGAGTATTGCAGAAAAAGGTTGAGAAGTTACCGTTGTCAACGCCCTGGGCTTCGGAGTTAATGCAAGCTCTTGGGTTGTTTGTGTTTCATTACTTGTAGTAAGTCCATGTATGTTAGCTGGTTTCAAAGGTGCTTTCGCGGTCGACGTTGCTGTAGCATGTTGCAAAGGTGGCAGCGAGGTTGTTGCAACCGCCATTGCTGTTGTAGGTTGTGTTGATGTTGGACATGCTGTTTTGAAAATAGATAACCAGGAATTAAACTATTACCAATGGCTATCCAATCGCACGAATGTAAAACCATGCATTTCCTTTCATCTGCCCTGCACTTATATCTTTCAAAAAAAATATGACATAATTTCACTCAACTCACAGTACGACAATACACCTGACGGTGGCCTGTACTAAAACTGAAGGAGAAGAAGAAGAAGAACTCAACTTATCATATATGAAGATGTATAAGAAAGGAGATTTAAATATATAATCATCATTGCTACTGGGAAGAAGCGTTTGGAAAATTAAAAAAGAATGGATTTTAAAGTCTCAGTCTCATCGTTTTATAAAAATCCTCTTCGCTCTGTTAAACTGTAATGATTTTTGTTTATTTGTTATGTTTTTGTAATAAGGAAAATTCACACTTTTTGTTTTGCTCTGTTCTTTTGTGAAGGGCAGATATATAAAAAAAAAATTGTGTAAATGTTTTTATCGGAGTTCCGCATATAGCTGAGGAAGCATGACACAATGTCATTACACATCTGTGTTCTAATTTGATAACAATAATAAGCTGCAATCAACTATCAAGCATTAGCCAATCAGAAGAAGAAAAATATGTCATCACTCGCGATTATTAATCACAGCTTCCAGTAGAATGAATTTCGTCAAATGGGCAATGTTTCCGAACGGCATTTGATTTAATAGTATATATGGTAATAATGTAGCAACAACGTTCTCTTCTTTTGCTTTAGATCTCTTTAACCTCTTGAAATAATGGACAAAATAAGACTTTCTTGTTTTTCATTTTCATCACAATATTTATTTAAAGAAACAATTGAAAAGACATTGCATAGATTTCCAGTTTAAACACACGATTAACATATTAACATTTCATCATCATAATTAATCTACAGTCAGATGTATGGTAACACGGGTGACACAGTGGTAAACAAATCATTATATCAACAACAAAAATATGCCAACTTATGAATGACACTGGTGCATTTGTTACCGAATTCATTTATTTATTACGAAGGCAAGTCCAGGTTATTTGGTCGTTTGCTATCCCATACGTTACCAAAAATAATGGAAACTGTCACTGTCCTTGATATCACCTGAAAATCGAGTTTCGTAAAAATCAAATATCAAACATCGAATATCGAACACAAACAAATTGTATACCTCATATGTTGTATTTGATACCAGATATTTGATATTCGACTTTACGAAACTCGAATTGCATTCTTACTATGTACTTAATTGCTTATCAATTTGATAAATGCACAATTCATATCTAGATCACAACCTTATTTCTTTCTTTCCCCTCTTGTATTTCCTTAATCTTACGGTTAGCATTGGCATTTTTTTCTTGAGCCTTTAAAATATATCGATCACCTTATATGCGGTGTGTTTTATGCATGACAACATAACACATTTCCGTCGACGTGGACAATAAATACATTGAATTGAATTGAAATGATCCAAACTCTAGTAAGGCCATCATATTCATAATCATTATTATCTGAAATACTTAAATCGTGATGTATTCGGTGACATAAAGGATACAATATCATGGACTTGACAATCAATACATACCCAGTGAATTATAATTATTCACTGCTTGCATTTTATGACTTGGGGGGATAAACGTGTAATACGAATCTCTAATTTGAAGGTAGAACCTGCCGAATGCAAACTTAGGTGAATAAAAATCGTATTCAAATCGATATAATTATATGCAAAATAGGAGAATTCGAAATAATTGTTTTCTCAAAAAATACTTTACAACTCGCAAAGGATCTGAACTCTTCATTTTTGAATAGGTAATGACCAATTCCAAACAGGCGGAAACAGAATGACATTGTTTCTCTCTGCATGGCATAAATTAAATTTCTACTTATTATCAATTGCAGGGTCTACTGATAAACTTGCTATCATACAAGTTTTTAAGACACCACTTTGTTTAATACACAAAATGCCTTAATTTACCACAGTCGTAAATGGCCATTGCGATCATTTTTATTCGATCTTTGTCGGTCAGGGCCCCGTTGCATACAACTTACCATTGATGGTAATTTTGCAATCAATGGCAAGTACCATGTTAACAGGGCTCAACAGCCAATCAACATCAAGGTTTCCATGGTAGTTACCATTGATGGCAAAGTTACCATCAATGGTAAGTTTTGTGCAACCGGGCCCTGGTTTCGGTCTCTATGGTGTTACTGAGGTACTACAAATCAACACAAGGAATACCAATAGAAAATATAACCAGATACACCGATTCTGAACATGATTTCTTAAAATGACAAGTATGGTTAATTATAAGAATTGATTATTTAGCAATATGTTTAAAATATGAAATTTTGTTAAGACACATTGGTAAATCAGAATGATCAAATGACAAAAATATTGACGATATATCATAATCATTATTTTCTTCATGGTTAGCCATCCTCACGATAATAGCCATATCAGAAGCATTTTTTTTTTTTTTTAATTTCCTAGCATGCACTTACGAGTACTCTTATACACAAGTTTCACACAAAACATACATTATATTTATATTTAACACTTTGTAAAATTTAAAATAATTCAATTTCAGTAACACTTTATCAACATCTTTATCATCACAGAAGTCCATCCATCAGATTATAATCATGACAAACAGGCAAGATATATATATATTACACCACGTTGCAATTTCAATATTTACAAAATGCAACATTTCTTTAAATACCATATAATTTCCCCCAAACGAGGAGAAATTCACCATCAGTTGTATTGATATTATTAAGAATAGAATATGATACTAATTTCAGCCACAAAAAAACTACATCGGAAAAGATAGAAAGAGGGGACAAACGGGACTTGTAAAGACTTTCGAAGAGATATTATAGACCAGAATAGACAGACTGACAACGTGAAAGATATAACGAAAGGAAATAAACTTGTGTGTCAGGTGAATTGGAAGGGTCACTAATTTACAAAACTACTGCAGCTACAGGGTACATATTTTGTATAATAATAATGTTAAACCTAATAGACTAGTCCGTCTATTTCACAATATACATGGATGTATATAGAATAGTAATACTTGGCTTTGCAGTATAAAATAAGCACCATTTTAGGCATGCACAGAACGTCATCAACTAATAATCACACTCATACAATATCAAGAAACGTCTGGTGACAGCTTTTTTTGTCAGAGGTAATATGTAAGTCTGAAAAACAAATGTTACAGCCACTGTAAATGTTTTAAAAATCAAAAGATGCACAGCTTTTTTTCCATACTATCCACTATTTCATTTTCCATCAAATACGCTTTGGTAACCAGATAATGGTTCTAACATTAGTCTGCCCTTCCAATGTTAATATCGTCGCACATCTTCGGTGTGTATTGTCAGGTTCTTTATAATACGTGTTCCGACCGAATTTGCGTCATCAAATCAAGCACACAGTTGTTGTCCATGACAAGGCAGCCAGCGAATATACAGAGGAAGAACTGTCTTCGACGATATCAAGATGATACAAATACATCTGGAAACATCACTCTCCACGGAGTCATGTCAATATCAAAGATTCTTGAACAGGGTTTTTCGATTCAGCTCGAAACAACACTTACATCTAGCGTCCGTTAATTCTTTTCATTGCGATGTCCCCACCACTCGAATCCTCATAGCCTACACATCAAAGAATAGCTTACACTATTTTGTGTCACCTTCGACATCACAGTTCTGTTTATAAATGGTGACATCGATGTGCTTAGCGCAGTCGAATCTTCACGAACTGATATGTTTTGAAATAAATAAAACATGAAAAACAAACAGAAATATCGCAATCCAGTCAGATCGTTATGAAGCCAAGATCAAATCGATGGTTTCGAATAATACATACTGCTACTGCTGCTTCCTCGGTTCCGAATAAAAACGCTACTGGCGACCCCCCGCGCAGGGTCATAGTTCGTGCTAAGGACTTCGTATGTGTACTCTTCGGTCGACCGTCTGCAGACCGGGTTTTTACCGCTCCATCTACCGCAAGGTAAGCACGCCCTCTGCGACTCGCCAACCAGTTGGTAGCCACCCGTGCACTCGAAGGATACCATACCACCGATCCTGTAGTCTGAGGAATACGTCTTCGCGAAGCGAGGGATGTCCGGCTCGTTACAGTGTGTCAACCTTACATCTGTTTGGGAGGACGGAAGGATGGAGCGTTAGCATGACTATCTTCCAACTAAACTGACTACTGGGCATATTTTAGAGGAGTCAAATAAGAGGAGTCATCTTAAAGCCAGATGACCAATATATCTGGTTATTAATACGTAAAATATTTCTCTATCTTCAGCATGTTCAATGCCACATGGAAAAATAACGATGAAATAACGATGAAATAACATTACTTTAAACCTTGAAATATGGTATAGGTATGATAGGCCTGAAGCACACCCTCCTGATAAGAAGCTGTATCATCCTATGGATGCGGAATCATAAGAAGCAGAGGATTAGCTTACCTCTGACTACAATAGTGACCTCTTCACACTCCTGTGTCACGGTCCCTTCGGACGGTCTCAGGACCTGCGTATCATACTCGGCTGGGCAATACGAGGGGCCACCGGGGGTGCCTGTCCTAAATTTGGGCTTCTTGGAGCAGGGCGACGAAACCCTGACCTGACCGCCCATCTTAAACTGGGCGCACGTCCGTCCTTCGGCACTGGTCACACTCGAGGACGAAAAGGAGAAATCAAGACCGTTCACTCTGGAAATAAGAAAAAGCGAATCCTTCGTTTAAAAGAGCTGGTAATAATAAAACTTGTGTACACAAAATGAACTATAAACTACAAAGAACATTTTTTTTATCGGGAAGATAAACATTTCAAAAGAACAATTGTCGGGGTAGATATCGTTTTGGGATGGTAGGCTAGGAAATCGGATAGTTGAAGGAACCAAATATTAATCAAGGTACACGGTTTCGAAGGTTCGTGAGACCAAGTGTCCTCAAGATTGAAGATTTTCGTTCTTGTATACCTACTGACTAGTTGTCGGAAGGACCATTATAATACAACCTCGAAGGCCTCTGGCTCAAGTTAGTTTGGAAGATGAAAACATTCGAGCGTGGAAACCTCTGGACTAGGTAACCGTCACTCGTTCCAAATTCCCCCAGAGCAATTGTTGAAGAATGTACCTAGCAATTGCTCATGGTTTGTGTATTTCTGTAAGAAGGGGGATCTTGGTGTTTGAACTGTCTAAACAAGCTGGAGAGTTGACTTACTCAACAGGGACGTAACTGGCGATCCGTTTGCATTTCTTGTCGTAGCACGTTCTGATGATAATACAGGATGTCTCTGGCCAGGGCTGCATGGCACTCCACCAAGTGAAATGTCTTGCCTGAAAGCTCCACACAAGCTCCCCGTGTTGATTCCGTTTCACTTTACCAATACCACTTTTTTTCCACACGCCTGCAGAGTAAGTAGAAGACATACAAATACATTACAATTTTTTTTACAGTGCTTTTGAGGAAAGCCGTTGATGATTCCAAACCAAATACTAAAAGCTCTAAAGGGATTGTGCTTTATTTGTCGGAATAGCTCGGTATCCCATTGCACTTTGGTCAAACGAACTATTGGAACATTCGGGAAGAAACCTAATATATCTAAATATGGACGTCTGTTGTTGCCCCTTTGCTGTACGTGGCCCATGGGACCGGTTAAAAGGGGCCTAGAAATGCATTTGATCAAGCAAAAAAGGTACCACAAAATAAACAAACCTGATACATATTCAGAAGAGCTAGTATTCGTATGCATTTTTGGTCATGCTAGAGGAAGATTTTTTTCTCAATCTTTACCTGTCGCCTTATCGAAGTACCAGGCGGGGATTCGAGTTCCATGACGAGCACCTCGTGGTTTTCTATTGAGAGGGAACTCGGCTTCAAATGGCAGCATGACGTCGACAAGATCATTGGTCTCCGTGTTGACTACCGTCACTTCGGCCATCGAAAAGGCCTCTAGTCCGGTCAATTTAATTCCTGTAAAACAAAATCGAAAATATGTGTTGCTTATGGAACATTAACACGTATTCCTTAACCCATCATCTTCTGAATTCTCTGACATAAACAATTTAGTTCCCGTGGCATGAAAAACATAGTTTTGCAAGAATTGCAAATTAGTATCTTATCTTTACAATATGTGATCGATATTTTCAAGGTTTTCTATTTAGGGGGAATTCGGCTTCGAATGGCAGCATGACGTCGACAAGATCATTGGTCTCCGTGTTGACCACCGTCACTTCGGCCATCGAAAAGGCCTCTAGACATAAACCACTTTAACAGTGCAACAATTGCAGATTGGTATCTTATCTTTACAATATGTGATCAATATTTGAGAACTAAAGAAGGGAATTCGTCAAGCTCCTATAATTGTAGTTGTAAATATTAATGTGATAGCCGTGCTGTTATTCTACAGCTAAATCCATCTACGCCAAGGTATCGTTACACGAATATCACGTCGTAAGAACGTTATGTAATAATTTATTGAAAATTGTACTTACCATCTGCAGATTCTACTGCACCAATCAGCTCAGGCACCTCTTTTAATTCCAATGGATTACTCGTGTTCACACCCGAAAACCTCACCTCAAAGATACTTTCCTCAGGGATATCCAGACTACCTAAAATTGGAATGAACACAAAAATTGGTATAGTCAGTGTATTGATCAATTATGTTTCAAAGTTTGAAAATGGTTAAACTGTCAATTTGCCAATGTGCTGACAGCTGACCAGTCATTTTGGCTTGCATATGAGTGACATCGGGAACATTAATGAGGAAGCTACGAACGAAAACATTTGAGATGAACCCTATACGTTACTACGTGGGTCTTGAGACATGTTTAGTGTGGTTGATATGAGGTTAGACCGGATCTGATTTCTGGCTCCAATCTTTTCTATTAAAGTCGGTCTTGATTGCTGGTTAAGGTAGAGACAGAAATCGCACAAGTAGCAACTTCGACTCGAGTGTAAACTAGTTATAACGTCCGCAGGAAGGACCTGGAAACATGATTGCCTGAAACACATGACCGGCATAATCACTCAACTTAGTCATAGTACCGGACAAAGATTCGGCATGGTTTGGATCTGAAACGAGTATTCTTTAATCAGTTTACTTTATTTATCATACATATCTTCAATCAAGATCTAGCAAGCATTATGTGAGTGTTATCGAGTCATTTTGTTTAAAGTTTTAACATTTGACCCTGCCACGAATGTACTGCGTGTCTTTTCATTATGTATGGCTTCAATTGAAATGATCAAGCGATAGTGCTTAAAACAGGTTAACTCGGTTTTGAGGAGACCTGGGTTCCGTCCTATTATTTCTGCGACTGGTCGCGACTTGTTGGATATCAATCGCAACTCTGTAGTAAAGAGATATGAGTTTGTAATATTACAATGTTTGGAGGGCCTGTGATAAATCTGGAGCAAATCAATTCTTTGTAGACAGGGCCCAGGGACCCGTTTCACAAAGCCTTTTTCCAATGAAAATGACAACAAAAAAAGTCGGTGACAAATCTGCTGATAACCAATCAGAAGCAAGTATTTCAGTAGCTTATAACAAAAACTGTCATTTTTCACTGATGACAAGTTTTGTGAAACGGGGCCCAGGTCAGTGCACCGTAGCATTCTTTTGTAAGGCATTTTCCTGGGATAAGACTTCAAGTCAGAAGTCCAAGTTTACATATAATCATCTCAACAACTAAAATAATGTTGTTCATCGCTCATCTACCTTGAACATGAACGCAAGGCTCTCAAAAATAAACTGCAGTGCGATTTCATTTATATCCTATTGCATTTTATATAGACTTCATGTTCAGATTACGTAATGTCATTTCCATGTAAGCAGAATTAAATATGAGATGCACAAGGTTGCTGGAAACGCCTTGAGTTTGTTTAAGAGAGTCTCTTCGATCGTGTTTTTGTATCCTTATGACCATTATTAATGAAATCAAGGGGCGTTTAACCACAATTGTCATCAGTGACAAATGACAAGTTTTTGTTATAAGCTAATGAAATCCTTGCTTTTAATTGGTTATCAGCAGTTTTGTCACTGATTTTTGTCATTTGTCATTGAAAAAAAAGGCTTTGTGAAACGGATTCCAGGTTGCCTTTTGTTTGTTTTACCTGCTGGAATCTCGACACTGTATGGTATTCCAACGTTGTTAGGTCTGAACTCTACAAGGCGATCCATCCCAGACATCCAGACAAACTCCTTCCTCAGTGGGTGCCTGTGAACCAGCATCGGCAAAACGTTTTCTGAAACATAAAGATAATGGAGAGTTCTTCAGGATTAATCTACAAGAAAATACTGACTTTATTATTCGGGGATATTCTCGTCAACTGCATTATATTCATCACATTCACCTACAGCTGTTCAGGTTCTTGCTTTCAATAGCTATGTCCTTGGAATTAATATTTTATATTCTTCTTGTATTAGGTCCCACGATGACATCATGGCAGGTGATTGACGCAAGAGATACGTTGTAGTCATAAGGGACGCTAAAAGATGCAAAGTTCTTGATCTTGAACCCATCATATTTTCGTCTTTATGAAGTGTGTTTAATTCCTAGATGTTTCATTTAATCACGGCTATTTATGCCAGAGGCACCATGTACAGTAATAACTAGACATGCGGTCGCTGCAAATTCATGCTGCAATACCGTAGTAATAACCAATGTCACTCACTCTCTCCTGGTTGGAAGCGGTATGTTGAGGACGTCTCCATGTATCCTTTCTTGGAAGCGACCACGATGATGGGTTCTCCTTCGGGGATGTCCATCCACACGAGACCGTCATCGGTGGTCGACGAGTTTGACGTCGTCACCGGCCAGTCCTGGACAGTCGGTCTGATTATTCGAACCTGGACGTCAGGGAGCAGAGCCTGCTGGGCCGAACCGTCCATGGTCAACACGGTAAGACCGGTTGGCACCGGGGTGGTAGGAGGAGATGTGGGTATGATTGTGGTAGGTTGAGGTGTTGTTGTTGGCTCTGGCGTTGTGGTTGGCTCTGGCGTTGTGGTTGGCTCTGGTGTTGTGGTTGGCGCTGGTTTTGTCGTTGGTTCTGGTGTAGTTGTAGGCTCTGGTGTTGTGGTCGGTTCTGGTGTTGTGGTAGGTTCTGGTGTAGTTGTAGGCGTGGGAGTCGTTGTCGGTTCTGGTGTAGTTGTAGGCTCTGGTGTTGTTGTAGGTTCGGGTGTAGTGGTTGGCGCGGGAGTCGTTGTCGGTTCCGGTGTTGTTGTAGGTTCCGGTGTGGTCGTGGGTGCATGTGTCGTCGTTGGTTCAGGTGTAGTGGTTGGCTCGGGAGTTGTTGTTGCGACTGTCGTTGTCGGAGGTGGCGTTGTTGTGGGTATTGTTGTGGTAGGTGGTGGCGATGTTGGGAACGCTGTTCGGGGAAAAACCAAAAATTAAAGGTGAATGAAACTTTCAATGAACACCAACATGACCCACGTGGGTCCATGACAAAAAATCATCAATGCAAACAAAATTACATCCTTTAAATAAGGAAGAAAAATCTTATACACATCAAACAAGCATGATAGGGTAGATGACATAGATGGATGTCTCGGACTCCAAACCAAATCAAATCACTTTTTTTTTAATTAGATAGTGAACTAATAATAATAATAATAGCTCGTTCTTATATAGCGCTTTTCAGGACCGGAGGCCCTCTCAAAGCGCTTTACAGATAAGTATATTATTACCCCGGTCATTGGATTCATGCTTACCCGCACACAATGTATGCACATTCTCCACTCCCTGGGGAGCATTCCAGCCAGGCGTCATTCTTACAAGCGCACACTTGCTAATCTAACCACATTAGCTTTCGCATCCTACCGGGTACCCATTTCACACCTGGGTGGAGAGTGGCAAATGTAGATCAATGTCTTGCCAAAGGACATTAATGCCGCGGCGGGACTTGAACCGCGGACCTTGTGATCCACAATTCTAACCATAATGCTAACCAGCACACTCCTACAGACCTATGGATACTGTTCCTGTGAAAACTTACCATATATCGAAGATAATTTTGTTCTTTTTTTCTTCTTCTGGTGTTATGTAGTAGAATATCAAGAAAATATCCAATCTGTCATACACAACCACGCATGTTCATATTAATTACTCGTGCTGCATTCATACTGAAGACTTACGTGTACATGATTCTCCATTGCCGTAATGTGTAGGTGGGCACCGGCCGCATTCATACTTGTAGATCACTCCACTCTCGGGGAACACCATAAGCTGCGTGCTGGGAAGGATGTTGAGATCTGTACATGCCACTCCCTCGAAACAGGGATGGTTCTCACATGTGTGTGGATCTGCCAAAATGAACATTAGAATATCATAGTTAAAAGTAAAGAACGAATAAGATGCGAAAATGTATATACATGCACACCACTTCGTTTCTATGGCAATGAAACGTGTGTATAATGTCGACCAGTTTCATACAATCTGTGTTAATGTTGCTAAAGACGAAATAATTAACGAAGAGGAGACAGTGACATCATCATATAAAGATAGGAGTGTCTTCTACTATAGACATATTAGATACGAACCGCACCAACATCTCAAGTGGTATTATTGTTATTAATATTTTAAGTGCCCCCTTTTTGGCAAGGAAATTACTTTTAAAAAATGACAGTTTGCTTTGTGGCTGATAAAATAATTTATTGTTTAGGAAGTAGCACTGATGCACAATGTTCAGTTGTTGTGACGGAAGTAATGCGAGAAAGAGAAGCGTTGAAACTTTGCACACACCTTGGTACACAAGTCTTTCTATTGGATCTCTAATATGAAGAATGACTGTTAGCGTTACATTGTTTACCGACGTGGTGACGAAATGACGTCACAATCAAACATTAGTCCAAATGCTTTCAGTCGACAACGAACTGATCATGATTTTAAACTCGATGGACGCGGTAATAACCAATTCAAAAATAGATTCAAACCTCACAAATATAATTTCTACAATGGTCTTTCATGATGACACAAAGGTTTGTCCGAGGTTTTGGGGGACATAGCAACATATCGTCCTTGTTTTCACGAAGTGACGGTAGTGAGGAAAATCGTCACGCAAAGCGAATGCAATTTTTTTTCACTACCGTCACTTCGTGAAAACAGCGACGATATATTGTATCCATTCTGCATCAACATAAACTACTGGTGCATAATCTTTTTTTTTTTTTTTACATACTTGTATGATTGCACTAGTTCTTTACCAGAGGCACTTGGGGAAAGAAGCAACCATACTTTAAAATACATTTGAAAACGGGTCTATTTTTTTTAAATCATCAAGCTTGACAACGTACAAAATGTGTAATCAAACTTCAGAACTCAATTTCCCATAATTTACGAATTCACTTAAACTCGACGCGAGAAGTCGGTCAACTATCCTTGGTTAAACTAGAGTGTAGATCAAGCTAAAAGTCAACGTTGATTTTGAATGTTAGTAGGATACGGACTCAAAAGATCTTGATATAAGGAAACTTACGTAACCGGATGCAGTTATTGCCATCACCGATGAAACCCATTTTACAGGTACACTTGTAGCCTCCGTCCTTGGAGTTCGTCAGGGCGCAGGTGGCGTGCCGGTGACACTCATGGTCTCCACTGTTACAAATATCTTCAGCTGGGGAAGGGGCAATGGATACAAATAATGATGAACAAAATAGGGGATAGTATAGGGCCATTGAAATCATTGCTTAGTTTGCCTGAGAAGAGACAAAATGTTTTGAATGTTGCATTAAGATAAGATGTATTTATATGTATAGGCTCTGCCATTATATCGAATGACAACCTTTAATACTTATCTCATCTCTGATCTGTTCAATAATTAACTAAACGATTTCATTATTCAAGTATGACAAGATCCGGAATACTCTTCAAAACCTCAACCTTTTTTAAATGTAAAAGTCTATTGCAACAAAATTTTCAAGATATCAAGGGGTAGATAATATATTTAAATTTCACTGAAACTCTTTTGTTTATAATTTCCAAAGAAATTTAATGTTGTAAGTTGTTCCATTGTTTGTACATTTTCATTTTCTTAATTTCCTTCATTGCACCCTGAGGACACATTAATTACGTGAAGCTACTGCATTATAATCGCTGTAAAATCATGTTGTTATTAACGACAAACTACTCTGTACCCTCTACTTATATTTGATGCCAGCCTAAAATGTGCCAAAGCAGTAACAAGTTGGTAATATCAACACCTAAATGAACAATATAAAACCAACATCTCACTATGACTATTAAAAATAACAAGGTAACTATATTTCTACTTCTGTTATAACAAATACTTACCCACGCATTTTAACTTTCCATTGACATAGTTGAATCGGTATCCATGGCGACAGATACACATAAAATCCCCGTATGTGTTTTTACATCGTCTGTCTCTCCCGCATGAAACCAGGCCCTCTGTGCATTCGTTGATATCTGAAAGAAAGCAGAATATATTAATAAAACCTTCGAACGTAAGTAGCCAGAGGTTTCTGCACCCAGGGCGCAATCTACTTAGACAATGTAAGAATCTTGTTCTTCTTTTTAAATCTGAGGCATTCATAAATGGTTTTTCTCTCCAAAGCTCCGAGAAAAGTCCCTTTACTCTTGATGAAATAAAAAAACATCTTAGTATAATGATAAGTACGATAATTTCAATTCTCTTAAACTCAGTGGTGAAATCTAAATGATCAGTGAACGGAAATACAGACACATATAGTTGCATATTATATTTTGATAGCTTCCTAGAAGATAGCAGTTGTATAATTCAAATTCAGCTTTATCAAATGCTAGTTAATATTTCAACATAAAAAAAATCGGAACATGTGAAGCAAATACGCTAGCATTAAATTTTTTTTTTATAAATTTACTACCTTGATAATTTTCTTCATCGAATACGCCAACATGAGAATTACATAATTATGTACATGTGAAATTCAATGTACCAATATTGTAATAAAAAAAATAAACATAGCGATTTCCTTTACGACTAACTTTCTCTTCAGATTTCTTTACTAATTAGTTCTTATATTCTCTTGGTTATTCCTAGGTTATTACAAGTATTTGCTGTGAATACAAACGTACCTTCGCAGTTGTAGCCATCTGCTGCAACTCGCATGCCGGCTGGACAGAGACACCTAGTTTTGTAGTGATCGTAACGCTGACATCCATATACACAACGACTTGCACTGCAGGAATGATCAGCTGTACAATGATATAAACAAACAGGTTGTACAGTATACTTCAAAAAGAATGTCCAAAACGAAAGCCCTTTTAAGGTAAATGACCATCTGAAATTCGATAAATTCCTTATATACAGACATGACAATCGTGCAATGCGTTTGGGCAGATTCGTCTCATACTCCCCAATCATGTAACGCGAAATGAATTTTCTTTTACTAAAAACTTGAATGTATCCATTTTCAAAATGTATTCAAATTTATACGTGTTTCACTATCTATTACATTCACCTGATCCATTTGATTGTGTCGCAATAGTCAGAATGCAAATTACATACATCAGTCGTTGCTAGGTCAGACAAACATTATGACCTGTCATACCTCAAAATAATCAATGTACGCGATTTGCATGCTGACTATTTAAATATGATTGTTCGTAACAGGTTAATGAAATACTTCGTATCGCGGAGGTACTTCATAAAGGCATATGCATTATTAAAATTGTATTACATTACGAAAATGGTCTATTATAACACCCATGACAAAATTAATTCTTACAAACTTGTACTTGGCAAAACTCTTGACATGTTTACCTAACCTAGGTATCAGATGTAAATTAGGTTATGTAACCGACTTGAATACTTATGAATAAACATTAAAAATTAGTATTTAAAAATGGGATGATGCTACGAATTTGACGGAATAGTATTTGACTGCACATTAGGAGGGGAAAATGTATCTAAATTACGGAATAATTTGCCGAGTTATACATGTATCAATTTTAAGATCTTTAAACACTATTGGTTATTCACAGATGTCTCTAAAGTGTTGCTTATGTTCATTCATGTTCATATTTACACCTTTTTCATTGAATAAAGAGCAGAGACCACCTACCTATACACGTTCTGTTATCCGCGAGTAAGGTGTTACCAGCCTCACAATAGCAGCGGTAACTACCGGGGACGTTCATGCACCGATGCTGGCAAGGTCGTTGGGCACACTCGTTTACATCTGGAATTGAAAATTAAATGATAGATAAAGAAAAAAAAATTCACAAGGACATAGTTGAAAGTCGATAATTGTATTTTAAAAAGTAATGTATACGCTTACCGTTTGATTATTCGAATTTGGCGATGCGATTTCGACGCTGGCGACAATTTTTTTCTGTGCAGAGACAGGTCCGTTTATATTGTAAAAGAAAGATATGTCGATACAGTTTCTTAACAATTCGTTGATTATTCACATAACGCCGAGAGAACATTTCGTTTTCACGATGGCATCCGAAATCACTAAGATAAATAATTTACAATCAGCAGTGAGCTGACAATCATGATAATGAGCATCAAAACAATCTTCTGTTCTGCCTTCTTTCTCTCAATTCTCTTAAAATCAACTACTTTCTCACACCATCATCGTTCTGTAATTTCCTTCATTGACACGTCATTTGAACTCAAACGTTTCAAATAAATCTACAAATGTGCCAAATCCATCAAGGGTTTTTTCCTGATTTTTTTTTACAGATTGTTCACCTGATGTTGATGTTCACACGGATTCTGTTGGGTCAATGTTGTCTCATTAGTGATTATTTTTGCCTCGAAAAATACAATACATAGCTCTAAAAAAAATTCAGGCGTGTTGTTTTTAGCAATTGTTGTTTGTTTGGTTGGTTGGTTGGTTAGTTTTTTGTTGTTGTATTCATTAATTTCGATTCCTTCCTTTTTAAATTCTCACTCTGGGAACTATTAGTTAAATTAAACTTATAGTCGCTAGGAAATTACTGGAACCGATTAAAAGATGCTTAATAATATGGTTCAAACCACTTTTATTCAACAAGGTTACGATGGGCATTCTACTTTTACTCAACATGATTCCACTCTTCGTAAAGTAGGCTACAATATGTCTTTGTCCTCTGTCGCAATTTTTTCTTTTTTAAGCCGAGGAATAATATTCGCATTCTTGTTCTATGACGATACCAATGAAGATCCATAACCACGAGAAGCGATCCTTCAACCACAATAAACCTGTCAAAATAGTTGGATAAGGTATCAACAAACCGTAGAAAAGAAAAAAACAGTTGTCTTTATCTGCGTGGGTTTTGGAGTATGCAACTCGCTTCAATAGAAAAAGGACAGGATGCAATTTCATGTACACATCTTCAAAATGGTCTTTATATTAAATGATAGTTGATATATATCTATTCCCTTTTAATAATTCTCCCATTCTTTAGGTTGAATGTTAGATTTACCAGTAAAATCAAACAAATGGTATCTGGATGAGATCAAATCATCTCTGCTGATAACAATGGAATTCAATTATGTGTGGAAGAGGTCGTAACATCTTTTTTGTTTGTTCATTCTTTCTTTCCCCTTTTCTTTTTCTCTCTTTATTTAAAATCAAAACTTTGATCAACGCAAGATGATGAAATCGTGATTTCAACTGAATAAGATAGAATGGAGGTGTCATGTCCCTCATCGCGCGCCAAAATCCTTCCGCAACTTCAGCTTCTCCGAGAAATATGTCGGTCACGCCCACTTTAAAACCTTGAACCTGTGACGAGATCTCAAGGCTCTCGCGATCTACGAGAATTGACACTCGGGCCAAGAAGGCGTATCATCTCTGTCTCTCTTTACAGGATGACAATCGGTAAATAATGGGATGGAATTCCAGATGAGATAGGCCACAGTCATGGATGGCTACGTGAAAGTATTCTCAGAGGGCTTGTTTACAAATGTTGATTGGAGGACGGAAGGGAGGGATATCGTGCCAAAACTCGAAATCAGGGTTGAATTCACCCTCTGACATCCATAAACTCGTTTTATGATGACAAATGTTCGGTACATGATATTTGGTACGTAACGTTATACCGGCAAGAACTTGATTATCTACACCGGGGAATTTTTTGTGCCATTGGCCCACGTTTCTCATGTTGTCATGTCGATTTCCTGGAGTATAGGAAAATGGTTAAAAGAGAAAGCTATTTTATCAAAACGCATTAATCAATTTGAATGACTTTGTTTTTAAAAAATGACGCACGTGATGGTGGAATGATAAATCATATGGGATGATAAATCTATGTCATATTCACCTTTACATGTAAATTAGTAACGCGTTGCTGCTCCTGTTTTTCTTTTCTTTTTTGGTTCGTACAGTTCGTGATAATATATTAATCAATTCCATAGGGCCTATACGTCACTACGACTTATATTAAGGGCCAGTTTGTTTTGGTACCATGCACATTATCATTTCACAACATTGGAGACCGTTAAAGTAAACGCAAAATATTATTATGTGCATGAAGAACATCTTGTTGTTACCTCATGAAACGTTACTCTGATGAAACCTCATAAAATATCGTTACCTTAAAGAAATAAAAACTACTGTGCCAACATTCATTGAAGAGCGCCATCTACTGAGCAGGCTTCCCGTCAATTCCAGAAAACATCACTCGTACATGCATGCTTCTCTGAAATATTTAAAGTGCTTTAATATGGGATGTGAAGTGCATTGGGAAGTTTGAAAACATGTTTTTCACTTCATTCTCTTTTTCTGATTAATAAATAGATTACATTTTCTATTGAATTACCAAATAAATTTCATTTTCATATTGCTCTCCTAAAACATTATGCATAATGAAGATTCGATAACTTCTTTCTGATTTAATTTTGCAATCGAAAATGACTCAAAAATGAACTTTCCAGCATAATCAATTTGACCGAAAAACAGAACAAAACACGCACTTGATTACATCATCTTTTGTTATTTTGATTGTCTGTGTCCCAGGGCAATGTCAGACAAGCTATTTGTGTTAGTCTGAGACGCGTTGAAAGTTATTGGGAGAGGAGACATGACTAAAACCTAAAGAAAATGTCACTGGGTTCTTAGCGGAAGACATTGTTACATTGTTAATACCTACCCGCCCCAAAAGTATGAATGTGTGAAGCATGTTAAATCAAACGACAGCCGGGGGAATGGGAGACCAAGCAGTGATAAGGTTTGTACAATGTGTTGAAATGAAAAATATCAGAAATTGTCGGTGCCGTTTAACATGAAATTCTCTGACAAGCAACAACAAAAATAAGAGGGAGGGGATAACTCGATTTTCGGAAAGAATGTTGTGGCAAATGGGTTTCAAGGGGGGCGGCTGCGCCGCCCCCCCCCCCCCCACTCCCCATTAAATTTGCCTGTGATACAATTCTCCGAGTACTTTTATTATTTCTTAGTAGCTACAATGGAATCTGGGTCAAATCTTAAAATCAGTTCTTCCCGTATCTTCGAGCTTTAGAAATAATAGTTATTTTGGAACAGAAAGAGCGCAATACGTGATGGCTTAACTTCTGAAACTATGGAAGGATAGGATGAGGCGGACGAGGACAGACGAGATTACTATATAAAAGAGTAAGGAAAAAACTTAAGAAAAAATGTAAAAATCAGTCAATCTATGGTAAAGGGTATTGTTCAATTTTAATGACGTGCTGAGCCGTGTGATTGGTTTTACGAATAATAGGAAGAGGAATAACGGTTGCTTCTCGTCATAACGATGATAATTCGTTATTACGTTATTACGATGGTGGTTCTTAATTCACTTCGGCCCCTTTCTTGTTCTCCTCCCCTCTTTTGTTCTCTCTCTCTCTCTCCCCCCCCCCCTGTTATTCATAGGAACATGACCTTTAAGTGACTATGACAAGAGTAACGCATTAGCTTAATGCTCTCCTTTAATAACAAAAATAGGAAAACCCCAATATATAACATCATAAGAGGGGTGTGATAACGGTTTTTCCTCTGACCTCTGATTGCGTCTTATTTCGTACTGCGCTAATCTTCGTCCAACTCGTCACTCGTGAGAGCGGAAAGCCAGCATCACCAAGATGACATCCAGACATCCTCCGAAGACCTTCAAACTAGGATCAGATTTTGGAGCAATTCCTTAGAACTTCAAGACAGAGGAGTGGACCCGCCCAAGAAGTCACCATGATTGAAAAGGACGTCTCGACCCAAAGAGAGAGTTGAGAATGTCGAGACGTGAAGCGTCCGGCGGTTTCGGCCGCAGAGTTCGAATCGTGATCGGTTCGCACTTTTCTCGATTTGTTTGTTGACCTCAAAATGTGTTCTCCTCAGATGCTATCAATAGTCGTTATGGGTATGAGATCTTGTGTCATTTCGAGGACGTTTTTAGAGAGGGAAACACAACTGGAGAATTCCCGATACTGTTTCCTCGATTTCTTTCTTGACATAAAATTATTTCCACTCCCTTTGAAACCTGACTAATATGCCTATAGTAAGGCCCCCTCAAACAGTCCAATGCAAATAACTTTTGAAGTATTCAACACAGGCAGGCTTTGATGTTCTGTGAAAACATAAACGCCTACCCACTCTTTGATAACAATGATAATGATATTTTTCATATGATCGGACGAGAACCGGTTTGATCGTAGGCTATTACATCGAAATGTGTCTCGGAGTGCTATACTTCAAACAATTATTGTTTACCTTCTTTTCTTCATCATTGACCTTGTCTTTTAAGTGATCATGATAACGTAGACATGCAAAATAAAGATACACGCACATGAACATGTTCTTCTTTTGATCATGAACCTGTTCTTCTTTTGATCATGAACCTGTGTATTTTTAAAGTGAGACAAAAAATACTAAACTCTTATCGAGGTTGTCTTTAAGATATAAAAACTGTTCTCAAGCTGGCTGAAGTTCAGATGAGAAGTGTACATGTGTCCCTCTCTCATCTCTCCCTCTCCCTCCCTCATTCCTCTCTCTCTCTCTCTCTCTCTCTCTCTCTCTCTCTCTCTCTCTCTCTCTCTCTCTCTCTCTCTCTCTCTCTCTCTCCGCGGTCCTTGAGAGACATTACTTTTGGAGAAGGATATGATAATCTACTCCCAGCTTGCATGGTCGCTCCTCATTTCCTCTTTCTTGTAGGAGAAGAAGAAAAAACCGTGCAGAAAATTGTCAGAGGTTGGCCTGGATCCCAATCCTTGGTCAGATGGTGACAATGCACATGAGGCATCGTCTGTTGACGTAGAACTGCGTTAATCAACTGACGCGTTTATTAGCATATGTTGCACATGTGGCGTCAATAATTTTTAATGCAGGACTGCGTTCAGGAGTTGGCGCGATCTTTGACGCATCGTGTGAAATTGGCATCGTGTAAACAGTGATTCCAATATGTACCGTGCAATCATTGTATTGGATTGTTGGCGCATGTACTAATTGCCTTGCTATGCCTGCTTATCCCTGGTAATAAAGGGTACCCAATCGAATGTTATGACACGTTGAACAGTAACCTAAATGTGCCTGCAGAAGCTCTGAAAAATATATGAGTGTTTGCCCCATATCTCACCCTGTTACTACGCAAAATTGTATGTGTGGAATGGTCCATTAATGAATACAATAATCTGTTGCCCATGAAGTTCGTATGATTTTTTTTTTGTCATGAAATGACTGTGATAATATGACTTCCGTTTATCAATCTTTGTGCATCTTTATATTGATTGAAAAAGTTCTGGGAAGAACCGTATCCATCAATAGTAAATCCTAGTCTCACAATCACTTCAGGAAAATAGGTAAACGAAAATGTATTCCAACTTAACGGGCAGCAGTATATCTGTACCTACATTGTATTTGTAAGATACCCATCAAAGAACCCCTCAATAGGACCACATAGAAAGATGAAAAGTCTGCTTTGGAATAACGTGCTCTCTGAACTCATGATCCATCCCATGGACCACAACAAAATGGCATGAGCATGGCAAGGATGGCGAAAGAAAAGAAAGGATTCACCCCAAAACTTTAAAGAGAGAGAGAAAGAAAAAAAATCAAATTCCATCACGTAACGATCCAGATGGGAAGCTCCATTCTCATCGCTTTGATAGGAGCATGGGATTATCTCTGTATCCCATCTATCTGTATAGATCCATTGCTCCCATCTTTCAATAGCTCCAGTAAGGCAGGCTTCCTCTTCGCATCGTTTCGTACCGTGTTCACACGAATAAGAATCGGTGTGCTGCTGCGCTTACTGGTGAAGCATTCGAAAGCAGACCCATTTTTTTAATGTAAACGCGCAGGATTTTCTAGTGCACCTGCATATATGCAGGGGGTGTAGTGGGACGAATTGTGAAACCTCTCCCCTGCCCCTATTCCAAGTTTACCTAAAGGGAAATTTGAACATTTAGCCTTTCTGAATACATTGCAGGAATCGAGGACATCTTCTTATTGTGAAAAAGTAAGCACATTAAAAAGGTGTCATGGTATTGTGGTATTCACTTGACTCAGAATCCAAGGGTTGGGGTTCGAATTCCAGCCCGGAAATAATGTCATTTGGCAAGGAATTAATCCACATTTGTCACTTTCCATCCAGGTGTAAAAGGTACCTGGCAATAATTGCTGGGGGAATAATGATTGCACGGTAGGAGGAAGAGCTGTATCAATAATGATGTGGTTATCCTTGGTAAGTAAGACCCAATTATTATCAATTATCATTAAACTCTGAATACCCGTTAAATATTGAGTTCGGGTGTCTGGTCCGATAAAACCGTTCCCGCTCCCATCCGCAATGGCCTAATGATGTCCCTGCACCTATGGACGGGTGAATGAGATCTGTGACAATACATTTTATTCTTATAATATGACGTACATAGCATAATAACTGTCATCATGATAATATGAACATGGTCTGATTGTGCCCGGGGGTAACATTTTACTTTGAGATACACCACGGTTGCTTTGTTCGCGATGCCAACAACATAAGAATCCATGACGGATATGGAATCTAGAATCCGTGCATTAAGCGATGAAAAACCTTAAAGGCACAATACATTCCAATTCAGTTATATCTGCATTTACGGAAAGTAGATCCACCGGCTTAAACACTTTGTACATTCCTTTGAAGTTTTATATCAAACTTTAATATTGTGAAGGTGTAATTATCTGTAAGTGGCTTTATCACCAAAATTTAGAGGTCACATTAAATGCAGATCCACCGACTTTTAATGATTTGGCAAAGCGTCGACAAGAAAGAATTGAAACAGACAGTACATACATTTGTAGGTTCATTTGACGAAACGGATTATTGATAACACATTGATTTAAATATATAAATATGAATTCTGCATTCATTTCATACACAGAGTATAATCTGGCATTCATTTAAAGTTTTTCTCAGAATTGTTTCAAATACATAGTCCTTTGCTCATGCTCACTGGTAAATAATGTTGAGGTCTCATATCGGATGTTTGAACTATTACAATTGGTGATGATGGATTTTTGTTTTTCCTCCTAAAAAGCGACCTTTCATCACAAGTTGTAAATTGTTCTTTCTTTTACAAACAACATGTAATAGAAATATTTTATATTCTATATTTTAAATACACCCACGTTTTTCCAAGTACAGAGAGAGTTAATATGATGTCCTCATGTCATAAACTGTGAAGTCTCGTTAGATGACACAAGCGAGTTTAATCATGGAAAGGAGAAGAATGTTTGGAATGGAATTGACCCAGTATTCCTGCTAACTAACGGGTCATCTTTGTCACTTCATATTTGTCATATTGCACGTTTACGATACCCCGAGCAGACAAAAAAACCCACCATCCTCATCTTCTTCTCCTCTCCGTGATTTATTATGCTCTGCCATCGCTAACAATTGTCCCAGAGGTTCGGCGATGCTATCCAGAGAGTCGTTCTTATCCCACAACAATTTGACGTTGGTCGACAGTCTGGGTAAACATTTGTCGTTTAGTACGTGTAGGTATGGCACTTTGACAACATACTGACAAAACGTTGTGCTCTTTGTTTCTTTAAATACTTTTTGTTTTACTGACATGCATTCCCTGTTGTTTTATTTTCCCCTTCTCAGTCATATCGTTGTCAATCATGCAAACTTTGTTGGTTGTGTCTTGGAGCGAAAGTGACGGAAACGGCGTCACTGTTATTGTTTTCATATTTCATAGCTGTCGATAGATTGTTTGTGATTATCATACTTTGTCTGCCCGACGAAAATGGTGTTGTCTTGTATGGTGTTGGTCTTTCAATTGCCCTTCACTTGCAACTATACGTGTACATGTATATAAATAATAATATAATTATTTCTGCTGCTTCTTTTAACCGTCTTCCTTCTTCCCCTTTTATATGAGTATCATACTACTATTTTAGATACTAGTAAAACATCAACAACTACTACTACTACTGCTTCTACTACTACTACTACTATTACTATACTACTACTACTACTACTACTACTACTACTACTACAATTACTACTACTACTATTACTACTACTACTACTACTATTACTACTACTACTACTACTACTACTACTACTACTACTACTTACTACTACTACTACTACTACTATTACTACTACTACTACTACTACTATTGCTAGTTATTACTACTACTACTACTACTACTACTACTACTACTACTACATGTACTACTACTTCTACTACTACTACTACTACTACTACTACTACTACTACTACTACTTCTACTACTACTACTACTACTACTACTAAGTCTACTATTACTTGTACTATTTTTACTTCTACCACCCTACTACTACTACTACTCACTACTATTACTATTACTAATATTACTACTACTACTATTTCTAATGCATTTACTGTTTATATTACTAATATAATTCTACTACTGGTAAGCTACCATTCCCTATTTCGGTTTGATGGTTGCCAAAATGAATGATGTCATATTCTTACCTTTATCGCAGAACTCTCCTCTGTATCCAGTATCGCATTCGCATTTACCAGGAGATACACATTTTCCATGCTTACATGTTTTCTTACAGAGTGCTGCATGAAAGAGATACAAAGAATAATGACATTAACAAATCACCATGGTAATGAAATACAAAGAGTTATTGTATCGAAAATAAAAAGCTAATGAGAACTGCGATACTTTTTTTCTTTTTTTACAATAGAAAAATGATTTACATATGCACTTCAGAAATACTCAAAAGAAGGAACAAAAATGTTAACATACTCACTAAATCATATTAATGTGACAGAGATTTTGATAACATTAAATTTATGCAATGTAGGTGCAAGAGATACAATTAGATGTAATCACAATGTTCCTAAATATCCTAAATAAGTGAGAAGGATTTCTAAGGAAAGAATAAATATATCGAATCTATAACTGTTATTGTGAAAATAATACAGCAAATTTCCAAACAAATAATGACAGAAAATCAAACTGCCATGCAAATACTTTCGAGATAGGACAGTCGGAGCCTGACATTTATATTTCAGATTTCCGAATTCTCGACACCAATTCCTCTTGTCGTAACAAAGGTTACTGGTTCATTTTGTCACTTTTTACGGATAACAGATGTTGTGTAATCGCGTAATAGGCAGAAGAATGATTATTGTCATTGCTAGTCACCGAAAGGTCATATCTATCACCAAGATGATTACTGACAATGACATTGAGAATGTTCATTGGCAAAATGATACTTTTGGAATCATCTGAACTGTTTCAAACACGTGTTTTCATGAGCGTTGAAGCGATCATAACTAATACCACGTGACTACGGATACGTTCAGACCATGGTTTATATTCTAGCATTGGGAGCATGTATTCCGCTGTCAACACGATCTGAGGTATCGCGACGTGGATGGAATGCTACTAGAGGTATATGGTGCAGGGGCAACGAAATGAGAGCAGCGAAATCTGGTTAGATAATAATAATGAATTTCGCTGCCCCCAATGTTGTCATAGAGAACGCTGGGTAATGTCAGGAATCGTATGAACAGCGAAAAAGAGACGATTGAATTCCGTGTTTGAAATCACGCATGATTCGAATCAGGAATATGCTGCCAGTAATGTTCTATTTCAGAACATTGGCAAAATATGATTAGCGTAAATAGATAACGGAAATCCGTGTTTAAAGTAACGCGTGATTCGAATTACAGAAACAAATGTATGTGAGAAATCGTCTATCTGACAAAACAATGCTGCTTATACGAGGCCTTTCCTCCTCAGATGTTGGATGTCATCTTATCAATTTCGAAATGCATCACGATGCCCTTTATCCTCAAAGGCGTTCCTCATTTTTTTTCCTGGCTGACCTACAAACTTTTAACCCCCTTTTCTTCTCTTCCCTCCATCCCGGGGGCTGCACTCATACTTCAAACGTGGCATCTTCTCTATATATATACTCGGGAATCCTCGATTTTACCACTTGTTATGCTTTTTAGGAAAATGTTATTTACATGTCAGAAACAACAGCAATCTAGCAACAGAATAAAGAAGTGCCGTCTATGAAATACTTCGAAGTGGGTCCTGGGAGCTTACCCCCCCCCCCCCCCCCCCCCCCCCCATTCCGACGTCCAACACAAAATCATTGAGAAAGGGTGGCAATTGCTACTTTCTCAGACATCTTTAAAGATTCGACATTTTTATACACCCATAGTGAGACCTAGATATCATTTTTAAGGAGGTTCAAACGCCCTCTATGTCACTATCTATCACTCGATTACCTTAAAATAGGTTTAAAGAACTTCTAAATATATAATATAGATGGATTTTGTTTCAATTTCTCTCTCCCAGTCTTGACCGATTCAATGTCTTGTCTATAATATTGATAGGGGAAGCCATCTTTAGCAAGCGATGGACCTGATAAGTTCGAGATAAGAGAGCGGCTGCAGCTGATGTATAAAGACGTCTCGCAGACATGGTGTGTGCCATGACCAGTCTTGTATGGCAGGCGGTCGGTGCCATTACATAATGAAGTTGAGTTGAGTACTGGTCACGCGATTACATCGTGAAAGGAACTGTCGTGAAGAACTTGAAAAGGGTTGATTATGTTCAACATAAAGATTAATATTTACTGCGCGGTCGCGGAACCAACTAAATGACAGAATAGGGGCTCTGTCTTGCTGGAAATCACACTTATTACACACAGACATGGTTGGGTTTATGTGTCTACACACATCACTTTTGTATATGGCCTGACCATTTGGCCCAAACTTGTCAGCTCTTTATTGTCATATTTCCAATATGGGAATATTTTGGATGCTGGTTCTCGTAGTCTGATTGGTCGAAAACTACAAAATCGTTGGAAACAGATCGTATTTTTATCACTGCACTTTTGATCTTTCTTCTATCATTCCCTTATGACAACAAACACATTGAGAAAAGATCGATGATTTGTACTTAAATACCATAAAGTCATCTATAATTTCTTGAAGGAACGCGCATTTAGTAATATTGTTATTTTGTGTAGTATCTAAGTAACATCGCTATGTTTCCGTTGAATCGTATGGCACCATACGCCTGCCATAGTCTCGCAGCACGCGGGCTCATAGAGGATGGATCTCAGCCAGGTCTTCACGTCGAGTGGGTGTTTGATGCGGTGATTTCAGCGAGATAAGAAGCATTGAGTCACGATATCAAGGTCCCCCCTTTCCGATCTCCATCGTTCAGGATCCATCTTGATAATGATTTTGATTGGGGAAATCCATTGTCGTTGATTTGAGGAGTAGCAAAGTATGTTGTGGAACTGACGCTGTTCGAAGGCCACACGTGTCTATATGAAGTCTAGGCGTGAGAACTTGAGGCGGGGGTGGGGAGAACTTCCATAGCCAAGCCATTTCTTGACACCATGACAATCAGTTTGCGAATTTAAAAAAAATCATATAATTCCTATCTCAGGGAAACTGCGCATACAATCAGCAAACTGTATTAGTGTTTGGTCTTTTTTTCATTATTTTTCTTAAGTAACTTCTACCACTTTTCATTTGATATCCAGAAACGTATTATTAAAATTGTAGCATATCAAACTAATTTAGTCATGAATTCAACAAAACTATGTCAGCTTTCACTGATGAGTATATGAGCATTAATTTTTAACTAAATGTATCGAAAATGGAAAGTATCTCTAGTTCAAATATATGTATCGGTAATAACTCTTGAATTTATTGCCAATAGGATTTTTTTAAAGCTACAGAATGAACCAAGTTCCATATCGAATTTTCTTCTTTTCACATTCTTGTCCGCTGGCATTATGTCTAGTTGGCATGTACCGAATCAAATGTGGACTGACAGTTCAAAGAACTACAAAGTGCCTTTGGGAAATTAGATCAAATCATAGAAATTGTTTCTGGTAAACTGAGCCCTTCTTTACTCCTTGAGCGAGAGTTACGCTATGTTAACCTCTGACCCGGGTTTTCTCCGAGGCCTATTCTTCTCCCGCTCACCAGGGCAATGTCTATACTAATTTTACGGGAGGTCGTGTCTAGATGGACATCTTTCCCACAAAATTGTTCTACCAAAAATATTTGAGACACTAAGTATTTTGCCGTTCATACGTAATGAGATTTCAAGCCCCTTTTCACTAATCACATCAAAACATACAACAATCGTTATTCGAATCATGTGGTTAAAAACTAACATTTTGTTTGCTGCTCCTACATCGGCACACTACGCCCTGTTTCTTACCAGCTAAACCATTCATACTTACGGACAGCGAAAGATCATGTTTCATACCTCGCGTGGCTTGTATCATAATCGCGACAAATAAGGCACTTCTAGATACGGTCTTTGTCGCCATTTTCTACCTAATGTCGGATAATTGTTCGAGGAATTAGGTAATACGAAGGTTAATAACCATATATGAATTGGTAACAATTTTGATTCACGCAGCGAGGAGCTGAGATATAGGTCAACGTATTGTACAGTCTGAGTCAATTTATATAAGGTCCGGGGAAAAATTATACAAAAGTGCAACGGTTAAATATTCTGTATTTGGTGAAGAATTGTGCATTTAAACAATTATGGTCTGAAGAACACAAACGTTTTATATGCTACAATTAGTGATAACAATATACAAAACATTTCATTTGATTTACTTGACCTCGAATTGCTTTACCGTTTTTATAGGTTTATCTGATTACAGTTGGTAAATGGGGGAAATCTGAATTTTTTCGATGATCATCGAATTAGAAGCATTTTCAGTTTCTAATGAAGAAGAACTTGAAATGACCTTAAGAGCTTGAACTCTCGGAAATGAATATGGACAGTCACAATCCTACCACCACTTGTACGGAAATAGTTCGACACCTAACGTAATTAAGCTCAAATCCGGTGTCTATTGCAAGAAGAATCACTCATCATTTCTGCATGATTTTACTCGAAATGACAATTCATTATCGATATTGTAGGGATCAACGATAAGGTCAGAGCCATTATTCCACACATGTCAGACGAAATTCCTTGGCAAAATATTGGATGTACATTTTTTTCTACAATTTCCCAACATTTTAAGCATTTTATTGTTTACAACTAATTGTTGATAATTATCACAGCACAAGCAGAATGGAGAGAAGATGGTCATATTTCTATTTGTTTCCTTGTTTGTAGGTGATGTTATCGTTGATTTAGATTTGAAGATTTCGATAAATCAACGGTTTTCATGAACTATCATAGAGGATAATTACCACTAACCACTTTTCATGTAGTTTTCTGGATGTGTAATTTAGAGTCAAATAGATCAACAATCATTGTTCAGCACCCTGCTAGCAATGTTGACTAAAATCTGAAAATAAAAATTCACTTTGCACTTTTCTTTGCAGCCTACCGTCAACGATATCCTAAACGATATTGGACGATGACATCACGATCATCCAGGGGTCCTGTCGTCTGCAAGATGTCTAGTCTGTTGGTGATGCGTAGGGGAGAATGCAGACACATGCCGCTAAGAGGCTACCGAGCTGATGCAGTTTCATGATCTAATCAAAGTTTTGGCCCCATTCGACTGCATCCTGACTTCACAGAATTGACTCACATTTAACCG